GGGAGCTGTTGTACCTCTCTGCCTGACCCCAGCCATGAGGCTTCAAGCCGGAGGGCTTGAACCTCAGAGAGATCTTTGGGATGATACTCCCTCCCTTCCACTCTCTTTACATCTGTCACCAGTGGCAGACCAAGGCTTCCAGGTCCTCTGTCACCACCTGGTCCTTGTCCCTGGACAGTTCATTCTCTCCCGTCTCCCACCCCTCCCCACCTTCCAGATCCTTCCACTGCATTCTCTGGAGCTCTGACATCAGCCACCTCCTAGATCCTCCCCTCTTTTGTGAACATGCCTTCCTGTCCCTTTAAACTGGAGCCCCCCTCTGCTGAGGGCCCCTGCTCCCTGCTGACCTCAGGGAGAGGCTGGGTTCTCTCCCTTGCAGGCAGGTGCCAGGCAGGGACGGAAGTGAAGGGGACCCTCCTAGCTTCTCAATAGCACTTCCAAACCTCTTCTCCATGTTTCCTCCCACTCGTGTCATCAAACTTTTCGTTCTCCTCACAGCTACCAGCCTCGGCCTCTGGTCGCTCCTCCTTTAGTGATTTCAGCTCCCAGTGCACACCCCTCCTCCATCACTGTGCTGGATGTCACTGTACCACCACCTTCCAACCCTGACACTGTCCTCTGTCCCCCACTTCCTCGGACCTTCTCCCCCACGTTATTTCAGACACCTTTGAAATCTCAGAATTTGCTTTTTTTAAAAAAAAATAAAATGTAGTTAATACACAGTATTATATTAGCTTCAGGCATACAAGATAGCTATTCAACATTTATATACCCAACTAAATGCCCATCACAATTCTGGTAACTGTCACGGTACAAAGTTTTTATGATATTATTGACTCTATTCCCTAGGCTGTACATTATACTGCTGTGACCTGCTGATTTTATGACTGGAAGTTTGTACTTCTAACCCCCTCTGTCTACCTCCCCCCAGCCCTCTCTCCTCTGGTAACCATTACTGTTTATCACAGTCATGATAGCAGCAGAGAAAACTGGGTGCAGGAGCTCTCTATACTATTCTTGCGACTTTTCTGTGAATTGGAAATTACTCTCAGATAAAAATTCATTCAGTGGTTAAAAGAAACAACACTTCCCTTATCCCTGTCTCCAGCTACACTCCACTTCCCCACTTCCCTTCCCAGGGAAATCTCCTGGAAGAGTTGCATGTTGCAGTGGTCTCTCTCCCCCACCCCAGCCAGCTCATTCCTCAGTCCACTCCTGTCAGGCTAATGTCCTCAGCTGTCCACCACAACTGCTTGGGTCAAGGTCAGTGTTAATCTCCAAGTTGCTCAACCCTAGAGCCCATTTCTTTCTCCTTATTTGGTTCTTCCTGTGACTTGTAGCAGCATGTACATGGACCAGGGCTCTAGCTTAGGATCCTACCCTTTGTCTATGCCCTTATTGCAGAGGTCTGTTTCATCCAATCTCATGGAGTTAAGTACAACTTATCTACTATTTAAAAAATATATATTTAGAGAGAGGGGGAGGAAGAAAGAGAGGGAGAGAAACATCCACGTGACAGAAAAACTTCAATTGGTTGCCTCTTGTATGTGCTTCAACCAGGGACCGAACCTATAACCCAGGCATGTGCCCCAACCAGGAATTGAACCAGTGACCTTTCATTTTGCAGGATGACATCCAACCCACTGAGCCACACTGGTCAGGGCAAACTTGTCCACTGATGATGCACAAATTGATATCTTCAGCTTTGACCCTATGAAGTAGGGACTATTACTATGCTCCCTTCGCATGACAGTAGACAAAGGCTTGCAGACATTAAGGGTCTTTTCCAGTATTACACAACTAGAAGCTGCAGAGCTAGAATTTGAACCCAGCTCAGTCTGACTCCAGGCCTGTGCTGTGAGTGCCCAGGCTGCGCTGCTGCCTTCTTCCTCCATCCCAGCTCCCTGTGCTGTTTGCTCTCTGGGCTCTCCTGCACGTGCTGCCTAGTCTGCCTCATGCCTTTGTCCCCCTTGTCCCCTTCTCCTGGAATGATCTTCCCCCCGCCTTCCCCCACTCCACCTCTCCAATCCTCTTCCCTCCCAGCTCTGGTGAGGGATTCCTCTGCTCCTAAGGCCCAGGCCAATCTCTCCTGACCTCCTCTGAACTCCCATAGGACCCAGAGTTTACCCTAAAGCAACAGAGGGCTGCATCTGTAAGTTTCTTGCTTTCTGAACCCAATATGGGGGTCCTTGGCCCAAGTAAAGTACATACTTGGGGACATGGAAGCACAACATCTGAGACTGGGGTGCCTGGGAAAATGGGGACCATGGGCCTCCATCTCGAGGGTTCTGAGTTATCCAGGGTTAGTTTTGTTTCCTCCACTAGCTTGGTGAGCTCTTGGAGAGGGAGAGCATGACTTCATCAAAAGTGTGTGTGTGCATGCAAGTGGTTGGGGGAGTGTGTGTTTTTGATCTTGGGTTGGGGACCTGCGTATGCAAAGGCCTGACTTCAGTTCTATGTGGATTCTCAACTGTGTTGGCAGTCAGTGCCCCTGACCCCTGCTTTGTTCAAGGGTCATCTGTACTTCAAAACTCTGTTCTCTTGGGTCCTGGGAAGCCAAGAGAGGTTCAGCCTAGAAGTGAAGGAACTGATTTAGACTTGACCAAGGTTACAGAGAGGCCAAACAGTTTCCACAGGGGCCACTGAGTTCAGGGGAACATTTCAAAGCAATGTGGGCTGTGCTGTGATCATGATCACTGTGGAAGAACTGAAAGTGCCCCAAGGGAAGAACAAGGAAGAGGCTGGAGAGCTGCAAGGCCATGGTGGTGCTGGTGGTGGTGCTGGTGGTGGTGGGGTGAGAACCATGTGTGGGGGAGTGCCTGTATACTGGTTGAGAAATTAGGTATATGTATGTGCCTACTCCTTTTCAGCATTCTGAGTAAATCTAGGAGAATACATCCAGTCTCATGTTACTGGCGCTGCTCCTGCCTCAAGGATGGAAGGGCCAAGTTAACCTGGTCACTCGTACACAGACAGGCCTCCTGATACAAGTTCTTTTCTGCAGAGAGCAGAGGGCGGGCAAGGGCTGAGGAGAGCAGGCGGTGGACGGTTGAATCTTTCATGTTGTAAAGGCAGTGGGCCTACATGCTAACTCCAGTAAAACCCCCAGTTCCAGCCCCCCGCCCCACCCAATCTGAAATGCACATTAGAGATCATGCCTCAGGAAAGAGTAACTTTTGCCCTGTGTGGATCCGACGGAGCCAGGGCTGGCCCTGCTCCACCAGGTGGGGTTGCCTCCTTCCTCAGCTCTGGGTCCGAGTCCCCCTCCTGGAGACACCTCCCATCCAGCAGCTGCCAACCCAGGCACAAGCTGGGAAGGTGTCTTACCTTGCTGAGCCTTGCTTGCCTGGGGGGAACCAGTCTAGAGTCAGGAGGAGCCCCCCGTGGCTGAACGATTGTTAATTCTACACTGGGGCCCTACCTCTGTCCCTGCCCACCTGGCCATGTTGGCACATACCTACTCCAAAGCCACCTGCATTTTGAGAAGTAAAATATGAAATCAGGAGCACCTAAGTCTGTCTTCACTGGATTACTCCAGACAAAACATGAAGGAAGCAGGGAGAGACTGTCTTGAGCTAGAGTGCTTCTAGAGGCCAAGCTCCTACAATCCATCGGGGACAAGGGGGACAAGGCCTTAGTGCACTCCCTCCACCCCAGAGGCTAGAGGACACAATCGCCATCTGCAGGGGGTTAAGGCCGATGGCCTTGCCAAGGATGCTCTGTAGACCCACACCCGCCTAAGTCGTCAGGTCCCAGGATGGGCTCATCCATACGTGAGTCCTGAACTCGCCAACACTCAGAGGCAACTCTGCGGTTGAAGGCCCAGCTGAGATGTCACTCACAGAACAGCTTCAGAAAAAGAAAAAACAACAGATGAGGTTTTCAGGAGTTCCGAGAAAGCAGGCAAAGGTGAGTGGGAGCCAGGCAGGGCCCAGAATATCTGGGCTGAAGGTCCAGGCACCAAGTTTGGGAAGAGAAGAGAGGGGGAAAGAAAAAGGACTACAAGGAGGTGTACAGGATAAAGTAATAAAGACAGAAACGTTCTATTTGGCAATGCAAACAGAGTTCTAGCTTAAAATATGCCCCCTCCCCCAGCCCAGCCGGCAGAGCGGTGTGAGGGGAGAGGAGCATGGCTCAGACTGGGCTTCCGTTTCCCCTCTTCCAGTCACAGGGTGTGGCCTGGGGAAGCCACTTAATTTGGCTGTTTCTTCTGTGAACTGGGTGTTCCCAGGATTGCTCAGCTTGAGGATCAAGAGGGCTAAGAAAGTGAGGGGGGCTGTGCCGTGTGGAACAAACTATTAGGCAAATGAAGTTCGGGGCTCTGGAACGGCTGGTTCTAGATCCGAAGTGCGTGATGAGTGTGCGGGAGGCAGCTGCTGGGTCTGCCCCAGGTCCCGCTGCAGCACCCGCACCCCATGCTCACCCGCCCCCCCCCCCCCGCCTCCTGATTGCACCATGGAGATAGCTGCCTGGTCACGAGCAGGTCATGACTTGGAAAGGCAAACTTGAATCAGGGAACCCATCATGTCCACATCCAGTTTGGCGCTTTCACTGTGCTCTTCCTGGCTGAGGTTTCTTTTTTTCTTTGCCTTTCCCATTCACGTCCTACCTGGGAAGTCCCCCCTTGAGCTCCGCCACCTCCACACTGAAGCCCTTTCTGCCTGCCAGGCCCGGGCCTTCCTGTCATCGCAACGTGCCACGCACATGCCCGCACGGCTCTCACTGTCTCACGTGACTTTTTCCCTTGGGCCCCCCCGCTGGGCACAAAAAGGGCCCCATGACAGACAGAAAGAGGGACGGTATAACCTGGCCTCCAGTAGCAGGTGGGTGCCAGGGATTAACATTAGTCTTTCTTCCCTCCCCCATCTGCCTGTCCTCTGGCCTCCGCTGTCTCACGGAGACCGGTGCCCATGTCCGTGTTCGGTGAGCGAATAAATGCTTTGCTTTACGCCAGCGTAACCCACAATAAATCCACAGGAAATCAGCACCACCAGCAGTGGTAGGATCAGAATACTTTAATAAGATATCAGTGTCAAAATACATTTCCTTATAAAGTTAAGCTCCCATATAGCAATAATGTCAGTAGGAATTCGACAAAAGAACAATGTACATGAATTCATTACGTTGACAGGTAAAGTTAATATTGAAGCTCGGAATATTTTTCAGAGTGTTTTAGTAAAACCGCAAGGGTAACACGCCCCCACCGCCGAGGCAGTGCACGCAGGAATCCACGCCAGCACTGGCGTGGCACTGACCCTTCCGGCCCTGTCGCCGTGCGGAGGACGGAGCTGTGCTGCTGACGCGTGATTTGGGCAACACAGGGAATAGGTCGTTTTTTTCATGTAACTGATGAGTTTTCTGAAATGTAAATTTTGTTTTGTTTTTGGCAGAGTGCATCCAGGCTTGTTGACACTGTTGCACTTCAGGTGTGTGTTTCTAGAAACTTCTTCATTGCACCCATGACAGATAAGTTCCGTATGACTGGTGTGTAAAAACCGAAGGTATCATCCCTCTTACCCAGTGAGTTAAAGTGCTCTGAGAACACTCTGTTTCCAGTGCTTCCTACCTATACAAGTCACTTCAAGTGACAGGCAGACCTGGGGGAGGGCCTGAGGCTGGGGCGGTCCCCGCAGTCTGCCTGCTGCTTGCCAGCGAGGGGCACTGCACCTTGGTCTTACAGGGCAGTGTGAGGAGGGGGCAGCGGGATGGGGCTGGTCAGGTCAGCTGCCCCCCTTTTCTGTACCCCCTCTCAGTTCAGCTCCATGCACCCCCAGGTGGTAAGCTGGGGAGACATGGACTGGGTCATTGCACCGTTTCTGAATCTTTGCTTACTTTCACGAATTCCCATCTAAGCCATCTCATGGTAGTTCTGGAAATACCCAAATGTGCCACGTGAGAGCCCATGAGAGTCCCACAGCTCGGTGCACTCGCAGGGCTAGCAACACGACCTTAAGGGAAATTAAAGCGCTTCCTCTCCCTTCGATGCGCCCCACCCCCAAGCCCCTAGCCCGTGACGCGCCCTCAGGCCCCACCGGCAGCAATAATAATATATACATACATACACGATGCACACAGAACACGAGGAGAGGACAGCCCGCAGCGCTCCCACCTAATGATTCCGCTTCTTGGATTGTTTGTCACGCTATGGCACACCCCAAAAGCAAAAGCCACCAGAGAGGAATTGCGCAGTGTCAGCAAGAAAAGGAAAATTAACAGCTTAAAAAAATCTTAAAGTGATTGTGTGAGCAGGATTGCATTTCCGTTTCTAAGTCTTTAGATATTACAAAGTACCCATATATATGATAAACACTTAACCCAGGTATAAAGTTTTAAAAAACTCAGTTATGGTTTTGAATAATAATAATTAAAAAATAATCCACCAAACCGGGGGGAACACCAAACAGTTCAGGAAAGCCACACGGCAACTTTCCCAGGTAACCACATGCACTGGAGTCCGCCCTTCACATTTCTTTTTTTTCCCCAGAAGTCATGAAGATTAGAGCGAAGAGTTGGCTTAAAAGACTGAAATTTACAGTATGGCGATTAGTTTTAAAGGAAGAAAGAAGGACCGCGAGAGCGCGAGCGTGAGGAGGACGCGAATCAAGCTTGAAAGCAAAATTACTTTGTTTCTCTTTGGCAACAACAACAGCATCTTTTTAGTTAAATGGAGCGGAGCTTCGCCTGCACTGGAACACACACCCCCCAAACTTGTCAGCGTGAATACTGTGCGTGTGTGTGACAGAGAGAGGCTGATGGGTAATATAAATTAGAAGTGATTGAAGTTGGGGAGGGGAATCTTACAAAATTTAAGAATATTTTCATTGACAGAATACAACACAGGCCAGACAATCGTGTATCTTAAAAATATAGATAGTAAAGTGAGCATCTGCAGAAAAAGGCCATACTTGGTGACCTGGGCGAGTTTGCCAGGTGAGAAGAGCATCTTGTAAAAAGGGTTGTGTTAGAAATACCTAGCTGCAAAAACAGACGCAGAGAGTGACGCTGGCGGGACGGCGTGCGGGGGGCCTGCCCTGTGGGAGGCTCTGGTTCAGGTGGCCTGGTCCAGGGCTCTGAGAAGCTCCCCTCCTTGCAGGAGCGTGGAGCTTCCTGGGACAGGGACGTTCACCTCACAGTCATATCTGGTCAGTTCGGGCAGCAGGTAGGGCTCAAACGAGGGCCCGAGCAGCCGGCTTGCCACACCTGAAAGAACGGTTGGTACTGCATCGTAAAAACTGAATCAAACGTTCGGAAAAGGCTCTATCCCATAAGAGGCTACCCGGTATGAGAAGAGCCCAGTGCAGAGAGCAAGGGGCATTTCCAGTTTTCGTGCCTCAGGGGTATGGGTGCGGCAGCCCCACTGTTACTCTGTTTCTTCAATGGCATCTTACCTGAGTGACCTGAGTCTGTGCTCGGAGGGGGACCCAGCAGGGAATGTGTCTGTCTCTGGACCCAGCCCGCTAGGTGGGGTGCTGAACCCCAAGGAACAGAGTGTGTGTGGTGCAGGCAGCAGCAAGAGGACATTTTTTTGGGGGGGTTGTATGGAGGGAGCCCCCATGAAGGCTTCTTGGCCTTGAAGGTGGAGACGTCAGTAAGAGCCTGCGACCCTGTGGCCACTGTGCACTGGCAGCGGGGGTGGGAGGGGGCAGGGCCAAGTGGAGGGAGGGAATTCTGAGCCAGTCGCTGCCTGCACACACAGCACACATCTACAGGCATATGCGCTGTGTGCACACACACTCATGCACACACACACGTATTACAGGGAGGGGGGAAGGGGGATCTCAGAGCACCCAAACCCCACTTCCTTGGAAGGCAGGCCCAGGTACCTGGAGGGCGTGGAGGCCCTTCATTGGGTCCCTGTATGTAAGGGTCCATTGTCCCTTCCCTTGGTGGTGTACGTGCAGTGCCCCTCCCCACTGTCCACGCCTGCATCCCCCACTGGGCCTCATCCCCTGTGGACCAGGGCCAGTCTCCTGCCTCTCTGAAGCCCCCACAGTCACAATGGATACTTGCTTACTGTCCCTTTGTAATCCCTGCTGCTTTTACATACTGTCAGAAATAAGCCCCTTGATTTCTAAGGTTCAAGGGAAAGCCTGGGCTCACAGCAGGCATAACAGTGCTGATTATTGTGTACTGAATACAAACTGTACCAGCACGCAACACTTGGAATGCAGACCTCTCATTGGAAGGTCCGGCTTGCTCTGCCCTCCAGCTGGTTAAGAGAAGGGCTGGAATTTAAGCCCTGGGCTCTCCCTCCAGGATTCTGAAGCTCAGAGCAGCAATTTGCCCCAAGCTGCATGGCTGAGGAAACTCCCTGTTTTTGGTCAGGGGTCTGGTATGTTCCACCGCAGTCTCAAACTTGTTTATGCTAAGGAGTGACCTTTCTGTGACGACATCTATGTTTTGCAAGATGGTAACAGACCAAGGCCCAGGGCAGAAGGCAGGCATCAGGTGACTGACTGTCCAGGAGGCCCCGCAGGGCGACCTCCCCCATGGCCATCCAGGCCACCCCAGCCCCCGCCAGCAGCGTGATCTCCATGCATGTCCTCAGCTCAGCTCCCGCCCGAACTCAGGGTGATGCCCCGGTAGGTCAAGTGGGGCACTGGGAAATTTGGTTAACACAGAGAACTGAGCAAAAACACAGGCTCGAGAACTCTGGATCGAAAGAGCCTTGGATGTCAGCTGATCATTGGAAAGTTCCTTCCAAACCCCGTGGACAGGCGGCCTTCCAGCTCCTGCTGCATCACTTCTGGGGAGGAGGGCTCACCCCTCTCACGGCAGCAGGTCCCCTCACACTGAACTGGGACCTGCGCCTTGTGAAGCCCATCTCCGGGCCCTTGTGCCCCCCTCCGCCCCCCCCGCACCCCCCCACACCAGACCCTGGCAGGGAGGCCTCAGCCCCCAGTGCACCCACCTGCAGCCTTATGAGCTGATGGCAGGCTATAGTCTGAGTACTGAAAGGCGCAGCACTGCGGGGGGAACCTGCTCTTGGCGCTCTCCCTGGGGCTCAGGGCAGCCGGGGGCTGTGGTGGCGGCAGGTGTCTCAGAGGCTGACTCGAGCCCCTCATGGGGTTTTGGGTGAACTCATCTGAAAGATCAATGTCGGAGAGTGAGGGCAGCACTGACCTGGGGGAGGGGAGAGGCTGTGAAGCCCCCGCATCCTCCTTTCCTTCAGCAGAATCACCAGAATTAGAGCCAGCCCCCCACCTCGAAGCCCAGAGATTTCTGACTGACATTGAGCAGGACTGGAAAAGCAAAGTTGGGTGTGTGGAAGGTGGGGTGGTAAGGCAGGTGGTGAGTGAGTGAGAAAACCAGGATGGGCCCTCCAGCCCCCCCAGCCCTTCTGCCAGCAAACCCCCCACCCGACCCCGGGAGGGCCAGGCCTGCGGCTCACCACTCGGGAGGCTGGCATTCAGCTGCTTGTCAGGCATCGAAGGGCAGTTTCCGCAGCCCCTGAGAATCTTCATCCTTTTCCACCTCAGATGTGATGGGCTGCCGCCTGGAGGGTCCCCCTGAGCATGGGAGGGGCAGATGTAGGGGGGAGAGGGCCAGAGAACCAAGTCCTCAAACTGAGTCGGGGGTGGGGTGGGCTCAGGGCAGCGATGCCCAGAATCAGGCGGGTGCCCCCTCTCTCTGAAAGGCCACATCCCCGCCCCTCCCTGCTGCCCTGGCTGGCATGCCCAGCCTGCCCGTGTGTGAGAGCTCCCTGCAGCCTGGATCCCTGCTCTTGGCACCAGTTCCCTACCCAGCCTCCCGCAAGGGCCGTGGAGGGACCCCAAGGCGACCCCTGTCAGGGCGTGGCTCACCCCACTCATGTCTTGGAAGGCTTGTTCCTCATACTCCAGCTGTCGCTTCAGCTTCAGCTTGTTGGAGAGGGCGACCATGGCTGGGCTCATCACGTCCGGGCCTTGAGGCCCGAAGCCCTTCGCAGACCTGCCAAGCCCAAGAGAATGGCCGTGAGGGTGTCTGGAGCCCCCGCCACCCAGCACCTTCACCTGAACTCGGGGCCTTCCGAGGGCCCACCCTGAACTAAGACTTAAGACTGTGGCAGCTCTGAGGCCCACAGGGCAGAGTCCCAGAGGAAGGGTATGGGCCCCAGGGCCTGAGCTGTGGCTCTGCTGCCCTTCCTCAGTTTCCTCTGCCTGGTGGGATGCTAACGGTCCCTGTCACCTGCACCTCCCTCCACATCTGCCCACCCACCCAGCTGTGCCCAGGCAGCCTCTGGGCCTGGCCTCAGCAGCGGCCCAGCTAGGGACCATTGGTCTTCAGGAGGGTCTCTCTGGCCCCTCTAGCCCTGCCTGATCTGTTCCCATTGAGCGCTGCTCTGTCAAGGGCACATGCCCTGGGGCAGCATGACCAACGTGCTCTGGGGGCTGGAGGTCATACACCAGCCAACCGTTGGCCTTAGCCTGCCCAGCAAGTGCCCAGCCAGTGGACATGGGGCTTGTTGGGGACTTGCAGGAGCTAGGGAAGGCAGGGCCTAGAAGGCAGCACTGGGTGCTTAGAGGCAGGGAGAGGCAGAGAGAGGCAGGGGCGTCTTTTCACTTTTCTCCACCAGGGTCCCATGAGGGAACCGAGACAGTCATTACTCAGGTCACTGTGCTCTGTGACTCCAGTAATGAACTCTTAACAAGAGAGGTACTTCAAGGGGTGCTCCGATGAGAGACATTGGTGTTCAAGGCTTGGACAGCCAGATGCTCTCCCTTTTCCTGTCCTCAGTCTCCTCTGGGCCCCCTCCAGCCCTGTAAAAACATCCCCGAGAGAGGCTCCCTGGGGCTCGGGGTTTCTGCAGCCTAGGCTCTCGGATTTCTGAGGAGGGCTAACTCGGGGCTCAGCCGCTGTGCGGCCGGATTGGTTGCTGGGGCAGCGAGCCTTTCCGGGCCCAGGTCTCTCACTGTGGGTGCCCATCTGCCCCTCCCTTTTCCGCACAGCCTTGGCTGGAGCGGCCTGGGGCCACTGCCACATACCTCTTCTTGAACATGGAGAGATGAGGCGAGGTGACCGGGGCCCCCAATGGTGACGTCCCCAGGGCCTCAGTGCGCTGATCTGCCACAGGCCACTTCGCAGGCCTGAAGGGTAATGGTGGGTCAGGGGGCCACTGCGTGTTGAATCTGCCCCCCAAAGAGGAGAGGGGAGTGCTGGCCTGGCCGCAGCATGGTGGCAGGGACGCCTTGTTCCCGCCATCATAAAAGATAGAGGACAGGGGCTGGTGCTCAGGCTCTGTCTTCTTGCTCTCCAGTGGCTGCTGGTACTTGTCCAGGAGGTAGGGGCCGTGAGGAGCCATCGGGGCCAGCGGCTGGAAGATGTTCGTCATGGTGCTGAAGCACTGCTGGGGGAGGAGCTGAGGGTTCTCGGGCGAGAGCTTCTCCTCTGGGCAGATGGGACTCAGCTGGAAGTCCTCCCCATCCATGGGGATGTAGGGTGCCAGCGTCTCCAAGTCCAGCTCACTGAAATCCACCTGGGGAGACACGGGGCAAAGGCAAAGATGCGCTCAGCAGTTGGCGCCGCACCCCAGCACTATTTCCTCTCGGTCCCTCATGCCTCCCTGCTGGAGTCAGTCATCCCGGGCACAGCTTGACAGGGGCCCCCCTGCTCTGACGCCTTTGTTGGCTCCCTGTGGCCCACCAGGACACTCACACTCCTCCTCTAGCCTTTCCGTGCAGTTTGTCGCCTCTTCAGCCTGTGCCACCCATCTGCGCGAGGATATCCCTCCACACACCACACTGGTATCACGCCCCCACCCCACCCCAACGTTCTCTTCTTGCTACTCTACCTGCCCAAACCCCACCTTCTCTCATGAGGCCCAGGAAGCCCCTTCCACAAAACCATCCCTGCCTCCTCTGGCCCACGGTGACTGTCCTCAGGGGACAGTCAGGCCTGTGCTGCACACAGTGGCTCTTGGAGAGCTGAGGGCAGCGTTGTCCTCCTTTTCTCGTGGGCCTCGGCACAGGCCTGGACACACGGCCAGCGCCAGGGCACCGCTGCGACTGCTCAGAGACTGCGGCCCCGGGCGTGGCCTTCACCCCAGTCAGCAAAGTCCTCAGAGATGGCCCCTCAGGCTCCCAGGGCCACAGGGGGCACCACAGGGAATGCCCCCAAGCAGACGCAGAGATGAATTTCCTCCTTCTAAGAATGACACCCTCACTGGAGTGGGAGGGGAGAATGTGCTTAAGGTGTTAGCGATTACAGTGAAACGAACGGTTAAAGACAGAAGCAGACGGTTATGATCAAGTGCTAAGTAATGAATCCTAGTGGAGTTCAGAGGAGAGAGAAGGGAGGGCTGGCACAGGGAGCGTCTGGCAGCACAGCTGGAACTCACGCCTGGCAGCCTAACGAGACAAGCGGAGGCGCAAGGCAGAACTTCGAACAAATGACCCAGGCTAAGACACACAGGAATGGATGACTTTCCTCTGGGTCTCGTGACACGTGCACCCACCCACCCACCTCAGCCCTGCTCACGTGGCTTTTGCAAGAGCATTTGCCCTTATGTAACAAATGCTTTCCTGAAATGTGACAGGTAAATGAAAATTTATGAATCAGATGCCATTTTTAAATGTACCTGAAATAAAATAGTGTTTCAAAGACTCCTAAGATGATTAAGTTTGTGGAGGAGGGAGTAATTGTTTTCTATGCTTATAAATAGCTTATACTTCTAGATGTCCTTTGTAAATGTTGGGCTTCCTTAAAGCCAAGTTCAGTCGCAGTGTTGGTTTGCACGGGCACCGAGAAAGCTGAGTCAGGAGGGGGTGAACAAGGTGAGAGTTAAAAGCGGAGGAGCCGGGCTCGGTACAGGTAAAGCAGAGGGCGGAAGTGGGAGAAGGGTTCTCCACTGGCTCAACTTCCCCGTGCCCTCGACCTGGTTGGGGACCACGGCCCTGGCCAAGCATCTCCACTGGTCTCTGCCCCAAAGAGGTGAGGCCACAGGAGCAGACGTGGGCCTTTGCCAGCTGTAGCTGGCAGGCACGGCCACCCCAATCTCCTTCATGGCCACCTACCTGGGGGCTGCACTGGTCCTTCGCCTCCGTGTCCATGGCAAAGAGCTTCTCAATCACTTCAATCTTCAGATCATCGTTCAGAGACGTGTAATAGTCTTCAGGGCTGTCGGGCTGGAGCCCAGGAAGGAGAGTGACAATGTCAAGGGTATGACACTAGTCTCCCCAAAGTCCAAGGTGGAAGGAAAAATACATTCTTGGGCCTACAGATCAACTGCACTCCAACTACTGATAGAGGTGCCACTCCTTACAAGCTGTGTGTGTTTGGTCAATTCATCAACTCTCTGAACTTCAGTCTCATAAAACGAGCCTGTCTTGAGGAGTGAATGGGCTGAAGGCCATGGCCAGCAGGGCTGGGGGAACTGCACAGCTCTGCACCCTGAGCTGGGATGAGGCAGGGATGGGGCTCAAAACCGTGCAACTCAGCCGCTGCTTTCAAGGAACTTATTTAGGTGAGGACGGGGATGGGCTGGCTACCGGCAACAAGAACACAGCTCAAATACTTGGCAGGTAAGGGTCGCCATCTCTGGGATAAGTTGAGTAGGAGGAGGGCAGTATTTCTGTCCAGGCCGTCCTGCCACCTGGCAGCGGCTAGAAGGAGGAGCCCACCCTCTCTGTGGCTTCGTCCCAGGGGGGCTCACCGTGGAGCAGCTGCTGTTGGTGGCACTGGGGCTGGTGTTCTCTGGCGCAGCTGCCTGGGGCATGGTGAAGGCAGGCAGGCTCCCGGCCTCGCTCTGGGCACCGTGGATCCTCAGCTCCTCAGCCCATGGCTGGCTGGGGGGCAGGATGGTCTCTCCATAGGCTGATGATTCCTCGAAGTTCTGGTTCCCTGCAGAGACAAGGGTCTGGCTTGGTTAACACCCGCAACCACTGGGCTCACCCCCAGGGCAGAGGAAGCCCACAGGATGCACAGGAAATCTCCACAGGGTCTGGAAGTCATGCCTGGGGCTAGGCCCTCCGTGCTCTGAGGCTTAGGTGGGGCAAAGAGCCCTTTAACTGGGGCTCCTGAGTCAACGTACAGACTCCCTTTCAAGAAGACACCCTCTTGGAGCATTTAATTTTCAGAGACTAATGTATTCGGAGCCACGGTTCCTTGAAGAGCGAACTGCATGTAGATGAGAAGGCCGTGAGAGGTGAGTTGGGTGGTTCACCTGGGTGCTACTGCACAGTGGGGAGGCTGCAACCTCCTGTCCCAGGGCTGCCCTCGACTTGCTGAAGGTACTAGTTTCACGTGGCCTCTCAAGAACACGTGTACAGGGGCCGAGACAGACCAGGGCAGGCACTGCAGCTGCACCTGTGTTCCTTCCGCAGCCGTGGCGAGGCTGCGGGCCGCACACAGGCACACAGAGGGGAGGAAGGGGCCCCCGGGTACACAGTAAGTGCCCCCGGCATGGGAGCAGGAGGCTCTGAAAGCTGTTTCTGTGGCTGTATGGACTCGTGTCTTCGTGGGGTCTGCACACGTTTAAAGAAGTAGTGCCTTTGGGGGCCAAATCTGGGCCTGAACCTTTTCTCCATCCATGTGTCTGGAATTCTTTCTCCCAACATTATTTTAGTTTGGCCCTCTGCCTAAAAAGCAATCTGTCCTTTAGGGGGCAGTCAGAGAGCCGCCCTCTCTGTGAAACTGCCAGCGGCCATGGGGCGGGTCTCTTGCTGTCCCCTCTCTCATCTCAGACTCCCCCCCGCCCTCCTGTGCTGGAGATGTGACTGCTCAGGAGCGAGCCCCCATAACCCCTCTGGGTTCAGCACTTCTCGAGCTCAGGAGTAGAGCGGCCTCACCCCTGGCAGGTGTATGTGTGGTTCTTCTGCGCCCAGCACAGAGTCTGGCCACTAACAGACAATTAATGAGACTCGGGGAAGGAATGGGGGCATCTCTGGTTAAGGAAAGGCTGTGGTCAGGGAGGCCTGTTATGGTAGAAACCTCCCCCACCCCCAGAGGGTTCGACAACCCCCAGCTCAGCTGAGGAGCACCCACCAAAATCCAGAGAAATGATGGCATCTCCCGCAGTGGGGGCCAGCTGGGCCAGCTCCTCCGGCTCCTCCTTCAGCTTGGTGTACAGGAAGTGACTCTGCTCAGAAACAGCCACCTCACCACTGTTGTCAAAGATGCCGTTCACGGCCATCAGGTGCGGCTTGAACAGGGATTCCGTCTGGTCCATGGAGAACACCACGTCATTCTTCTCAATCTCACTGATGGGACAAGAGAGCACTTCAGACCTTCCATGCTTTCTAGCCAAGTCCTGTTGCTCCCCAGGCACAGGGAAACCCCGATGCCCAAGCCTCTTCGCCAAACACGTGGGCACGGACACTGGGTCGTCGTTTTGTAAAGAACCACACAGACAGAAGTTTGGAGCAGAGGGAGCAACATCGGGAGTGCGCTCAGACGAGGAACCTGCCTGGGATGCTGTTTTGTGATCGGATGCTGCGTGGTGTGAGTGGGTCTGAAGGGTTTTGTCTGTTTCACTCTAGCACTGACTTTATCCAGCTTTCCTTCCAGGTGCTGCTGAGTGAGGGTGTTACGTCTGCTTTTCTCAAACCACACGAGTGGTTTTCCCCATTCAAAAAATGCTCATTAAGTGATGACTTTGTTCTGCCTCCCCACATGGGTGAGAGGAATGGCACCAGAGACAGGTGAGGAGAAGGACAAAGCACTGGAAAGGGGACATCCCAAGTGTCCCCCTGCTCCCGAGACACCCACCGTAGCCCTCTGGGTTGTAAGGATCAGCACCGCAGAGAGCTGGCGAAGAGCCTTGGGAGAGGCTGGGCTCTCCCTGGGCCTGCCGTCCTCAGGCTGGGGAGCTGGGGCCCCGCGCACCCCGGCCCCCGCTGGCCCTCGCACGCTCACCTCAGCACGTAGTTCACACACATGATGCACTGGGGCTGCAGGTTGCGAGGGTTGTAGATGACCGTCCCCTGCGTCTCCAGCCACACGTAGCCCCCATGCTTCGCCAGCATCCGGTACTGGCCACTCACCACCTGACCCTTGGTGCACACTACGGGAGGAGAAAGGGGCCTGGGGTCAGGGCCGTCCGGAGAGGAGGGGGGCACTTCGGATCCCGAGACAAGTCTGCTCGCCAACTGGCTCCGCCCTCATTTCCCCCTTCCCCTTTCCCCCTACCTCAGTTCAATAACAGGGGTGCCTGCCCCTTCTGTCAGGGACCAAGGGCTAGGGGCGGGCACTTGCGAGCAGGCAGAGAAAGTCTGGCCTCAGGGCAGCCCTTTGTAGTAGACCCAACAGCAATACTCAGCTTGTGAATAAATGAAGTTTTACAAAAATGATATCCTCGATTGTTCCAGGTCATCTGTTGGGCCTGCCACAAAACTTCTGTGGCCCGTACGTAGCAAAGGCACAGGTAGGGGGCTGGGGCCCCAGCAGCATGCACTCAGCCTCTTCAAAAACCTAAGTCCTTCCCACTCCTTGTCTTCCTAGCTGCCCAGCTAGGCTGCCTGCTTATGATTTCTTTCCAATGCCAGATCATTCAAAATGTTCATGTAACATCTGCGTTTACTGTAAAGACACTGGGGAAGGGCTCCCACAGCCTGGAATGTCCTCCTCCCCAGCCCAGAGTGCTCTCTCTGCTCCCATTGAAAAGGAATCGATAAATCTACTCATGTTAGAATTTCTGGTAGTTTTCTGAACTGCCCCATTACTTTCATTCCTTGGGAATTTGTCCTCCAGAACCCCAACTCAGTGACTCCGCCCCACAAATCATGGAGCATTGGAAAGAGGCGTGGTGGCAGGGTGAAACCGTCTTGCCAGCACGGGGACTTTGGGGAAAGAACAACCCGTCTTGGTATTGGTTTCCTCTCCTGCCAAATGACCACTGATTAAGAAATAATTATTATTATCGTTATTAGGGCCAAATCTGACTTATCAGGTACAAGAAGGTGGGCTCAGTGTCACTGGCACATCCTCCCCAAAGTTACTGACACGGACAGCGTCCAGGCCCCGGGACCTCTGCAGGGCGTGTCTGTAGACAAGGTTGGGGAGGCCCAGTGGGGGAGTATCCAGATTCCCCTACGGGGCTGGTGGGCCACCTCCCCACTCCCCGCCCCTGTGTGGTTGAGAAATGCAGTCTGGTTTGTACTAATGCTGCTGGTCATCCTTTTACATTTGTTTTTCTTGGCAGATATTATCCTCTTCAAAAGTTTAACAAGCACCTCCAAGGTACAGGAAATACCATAACTTGCATGTTTATAGTGGTTTGCAGTGTTCAAAACTATCTCATATGATGAATTCATGTCTGCAAACCGATTCCAACAGCCCCTGGCACATACAGCATCGATAAGGGTTACTGGCCCTGTCTGCACCTCATTTTGGACACAGTAGCACCAGGAGGTATCTATTGCTGTTCCTGCTTCACATCTGAAGAAGCTGAGGCTTGGAACTGTTGAGTGATTTGTTCAAAGGCCCCCTCAGTGGAAACAGTAGACAAGGTTATAGTCCAAATTAAAGACTCTTATCTAAGCTTGTTTTTGTTTAAAGTCAGCTTGAGCGAGGCTTAATTTATGTTCAATTTAAAAATGCACCCAGTTAAGCATCCAGTGCAATGACTTTTGACACCCTTGTAACTATCACCACCCTCAAAGGTATGGTGACTTTTCCACCACACAACCCCATCCAAAAACCCTTGTGTCACTTGACAGTCCATCCCCATCTTCATGCGGTCCTAGGCAGCCCCTGATGCGATTTCTGGCACTAAATGTTGAAACGCCCTCTTATCCATTTGCACACAGTGGGATCACACAGGAGCACGTGCTCTGTGCGTCTGCCTTCTTTGCACTCAGCATGTTTCCCAGATCCCTCCTGCTGTTAAAGGTATTCGTGGTTTGTCCCTTTCATTGCTGAGCAAGGCTCCATTATATGGATGTACCATAATTTACCCATTCACCTGTCAACAGGTGTTTGAGTTGCTTTCAGTGTTTAGTTATTATGAACACAGTTACTATGAACATTGGTGTACCGTGCTTTGTATGGATGTACTTAGCATTTCTTGTAGGGCTGTAATGGCTGGGTCGCATGCTCAGTATATGTTTACTTTATAAGAAGCAGCCACATGATTTTCCACAGTGGCTGTATCATCCTAATCTTTTTCAAAAAAGCCTGTGCTGTAGGGGAGACAGAGATTGTTTCCTTTTAACATAAAGAAACTAAGGCCAGAAGGATGGTGACCTGCTTGACATCGCCCAGGACTAGACGAGTGTCTCGTTGCTCCCAGTCCAACATTCTCCTCCTTCCTCCCCTGGGCCACACACAGCCCACCGGGCAGACTGAGTTTGCTGTTGTCCCTGTCCTGAGCCCTCATGGACTCTCCCACCGAAGAAGTGACTTCTGTCCTCCCTGGTTTCTCTTTATCTGCTCCGCTGAGGGCCCCCCCCCCCCCCGCCGCTGCAGTGAAATGATTCTTGCACAATTTCAAGCAGCTAGAGTTAACTTATTTAGACGGTTCTTAATGCAGTCAAAATTCAGGGCTCTTATTCTTGATTAAACAGTGCAGTAAGCAAAGGTTTTAACTGTATTTCTAGCGATTGCAGGCGTGGGCCTGCTCTGTTGGTGGAATATAATTACACCTGTCTTCTAATCATCTGCTCATTAATGCCAGCCTGGGTGAGGGGCCTGCTACTTGGTAGATAGGCTTTTTATGACCTTTAATTTTGTTTTCCTAAGAGCACATAATGTCCTCACACAACAAAGGAAAAGCACCCCCCCCCAACCAACTGCTCCTGCCTGAGAGTAACAATGTATAAATTATCAATCCATTTGGAAATGATGGCTTTCAATTATCTGAATCTGGCTTGAGGGCTGAGCTTCCCCAGCCATTTCAATGGAAAACGTTCGCAGGATAAGACACATACGTGCGGAAATTCGGATACTGGTGTGTCAGCCGGCCTCAAACCTTGGCCTCCAGCTATGTTGCAGCGTGAGTGTGGGGCTGTGGTGCAACTGTATTTGCACAAACCCAATGGTGGGGGTGGAGAGGGTTTCATTGTAGCCACCACTAACCCAGTTTCCAACCCATGCAGATTTCCCTTTGCTGGATTTGCCGGCTGGCTGGGTCCAAGCCCCTGAGCCCAGAGCAGCTGCACCTGGTTCCACCAGGGGAAGAAGGAGCCCGTGGTCTCCACTTGGGCTGGGAATTACCTGTAAGTGTGCCTAATGCTTAAACACATAGATTCAATAAAAAAAAACACCATCTTTTCCCTGGAGTCAGCAGAAAACTGTGACAAATTTTTATCCCAGCTCTTTTTTCATGAATCAAAGCTTTTCTAAGAAAAAGATAAAACAAAAAAAACCCCTCCTTCTTATATGGCTAGGGAGAAGTCATCATTTCTGTTCCCCTGGATAGCGGTTCCCAGAAGACAAAGTATTATGTCATACTGTCCTCCAAGAATTCCCAGAAACTTTTTTGTTTGTGGCCTGCTTTGACTTCACCCTTGGCTGAGGAGAAAAGCCGGACTTCCCCCCAGTTCTACATCTATAGGAGGGAAGGCCCAGAAAGCCTGGCCCTGGGGAATCAGCAGGGCAGCTGGGCGAGAGCCCAGTTCCCTGAATCCCAATGTCAGGACGCCTTTGGGGCCAGGAACAGCCACAGACTAGAAAAGCACGGGGACCCCAAAGCGAAGGCTGGAACCCCGTCCTGCAATTTCAAAGCTAGGGCAGGCTGGTTGGGCATCTCACCCGTCCTTGTGGGCCGGGCGCACACGAGTGCCTCCGCCTCCCTCCCCATCCCTGGGCCCGTAAATGCAGCTGAGTCTAGGTCATTCGTTTGTTTGCTGGAGAGCATAGTGAGAAGCATTTCTGAGACACCACAAAGGGCCCCGTTTCACTGTCCAGCAGCAGAGAAAGCCGATTGGAAAGAGAAGACCTCACTCTCTTAACAGATTAACTGTGCGCAGATACTGCACGTGGGGCTGCTGATTTGTCTGCTGCTGGACTTTAGCTATCCGACCTTGGGAGAGATGGGTGGAGTTAGGAACAATGGACAAACAGCCGTACTTCCATTTTCTTCGTTGCTACTCCAAGCCACAGCTAATCCTGGGAGCTCAAGACCAGCAGAGCCACTGGGAATCTTCTCAGACTCAACTCTTGGCCCCTCTGTCTGCACCACTGTGGGCACTTAGAGATTCTTTTTCAAATATGTTTTATGCCTTTGGGTTTACCATTCATTTAGTGCCTGTGCTGTAGCTAATGCTATGCTCGATACCGTGGCTGAAGGTATGAGCTGCTGGCCTCCCTTGGAGTCTCAGCCCTCCTTTCCCCTCTGAAATGAGACCCCTTAGGGCAGGGATCAATCCTGTCAGGTTCTGTGTCCCCCAGTGGACCAAGAATAGAGGCATAAACCCAGAGTCCTTGCATGTTGGCGGGCTGTACGGACTCAAGAAAACTGTCTCGGATCACCTGCAGACGGGAAGCCTGACTGGGAATATGACCAAGTGAATGAAACAGAACTGCCCTGTGCAATATGGGAGCCACTAGCCGAGGGTAGCTATTTATTTATTTAGTCTTCACTCGAGGATGTGTTGACTGATTTCAGAGAGAGAAAGGGAGAGGGAGGGGAGGAGAGAGAGAGAGAAAGAAACATTGATCGGTTGCCTCGCACATACACCTTGACCAGGATCAGGCCCACAGCCTTCTGGTGTCTGGGACGACACCCCAGCAAATTGAGCCACACAAGCCAGGGCAAGTGTAGCTACTTAAATGGAATTAAAATAAAAAAAATTCATCTCCTCGGCTGCTCTAGACATATGTCAAGTACGGCAGAGGCAGCACGTGAAACAGGAAGGTGTAGAACATTCCCACTGCAGAAGGCTGCACTGGACAGTCCTGTTCTGGAATCCCTTCGTAACTCGGGCTTCTTTCAAGCTGCCAAGCACAGTTTCCGTGTGACGTCCCCGAGTTGCCTACACAGCCTCTCCCACTGAGCTCCCTTGTCCAGCAGGCAGGCTCCTGGAGCACCATCGGTTGTGTTTGTGCCCTCCCGCCCTCCCTGCTGTTTAATCCTCCCCTGTCTCTTCAGGAGTCTGACTCAGGCGCCCTAGCCTCTCCTTTTCTGAACTGCCCCGGCCCTTCTCTTCTCTGATGAATGTGCTTGCTTCTGTAGCACATACCCCAAGGGGATCACCCTCTCGTGTTACCCTTTGCAGGGCTGCTCCACAGGGCTGTGCAGCCTGCTCACCCTGTGTGCAAGGGTGCTCAGTGGAAGTGGTATGTCGGGGCTGAGATTCAGCCCACCTTCTACTACCTGAGCTCTGTGGCTGGACGTGGGTGTGCCACTCTGGGGGAAGAAGCCTTTTTGTCATTTTCATGAAGGTGTCATACAGGCTGGTGGCAGCCTTGGTTATCTAACCATCCTGAGCGTGTGAGTCTCTCAGCTACACAGGGCACTGGCTCGGTGAAGGAAGGGACCGGCTCTCCTCCTGTCTCACCGTCATGCACCACTCAGGGCCAAATTCCATAGACACAAGGGAGCCACCCAGGATACCCCAGGGACTTACGGTTCTGGTGACTTTTGGTCATGTTCTCTGAGTCCAGTGCATGGTAGAACTCATAGGCTGAGCGGCCAAGTAGCTCCTCTGGGTGGTAACCAATCAGTTCTGTGATTCTGAATTAGAAAAAAAAAAGAAAGAAAAGCATGTAGGGAAGAGAAGCCATATAAATGTGGACAGGGGCTCAAGGAGCTAAATCCAGAAGGTAAATCAAATGCACACAACCAGATGAAAACACCACAGGCTTCCTGGTCACACCATTCACGCAAGCAAAAGACACATGGTGGCCGACCTGCCACTGTGGACCTGCCCAGCCCCCACTCCTCCTGCCCTTTCCTGAAGTCACGTTGGGGGAGAAAGGAACTGTGGCTCCCTGGGGGGCTCCCTGCCCCCAGCCCTAATGTACCCATGTGCCTGATCGCCAACAACCGCGGAAGGGCTCTCACCAGCCTCTCTCCACCCCCCAGATTTTGCAGATGAGGGAGTAGAGACCCAGGGAAGGCAGACAATTTGCTGATGTCCACATGTGTCTAAGGACAGAGCCAGCATGAAAACCAGGGCCTCCTGACTACTAGATCAAGCTTAATCTAGTAGAAGGTGATAGAAATGAAAAATGAAAATTACGTGGCCTCTAGTGGGGAAAAGCATGGGGGTGACCTCCGTCTGCGTGAACCACACAGTGAGGAAGAACTGGGGACAGGGAGAATCCCTTCTGTGCTGAGGGCTTCACTCCTCTGGGTGCTTCTCATGTTCTGCCTGGTGACCGCAGACTCCTCTTGGACATGGGGTCTGCCTTCCATGGGTTCTTCCACTTGTCCCTCTCTATTTTGAGGGAAGGAAGGAGAGCAGAGGGTACTGAGAGGAAGAAATAGAAAGTCATAGTCATAGAAAGGTGCCTCCTCATTGCGTTCTGCCATGAACTTGCAGCTCTGAAATGACAGGGCTTGACTCTCCTGCATGTGTCTTGCTTCATCCTGTAAGGCGTCTGGTTTTGATGGAAAGTGGGCAGATGAAAGGCAGAGATGGAGAACCCTAAGAATCACTTAATGGTCCAGGGACCCTTTGGTCTGTGCTGGAGCCATCGAAATGAACCAGCCCTGCCCAAGAACCCCCAGATTAGCCACATTCCCATGTTATACCTAAATGTTATTTTTTGTAACCTTTGTTATTTCACATTTTTCTTCTAATGGGCTTGTTAGCCCATTCTTCTAATGGTCCTTCATTAATCATATGTTAGAAGTGATGCTGTTGTAATCATTCCAAGCTCTGTTTCAGAAAGTGTGACTTCTAGGTACAGCCCCATCATTTATCGTCTATGTTGGAGATGAATCACAGGGAGAGGGAAGCAGACACAGTGTCTCTACTCTCCTCCCCCAAAGGGGTTTCCATACATCTATCAGAAGAAATCATCGCAAAATATTGTCTCCATCCTGTCTCTCCCCTATTTAAGCATCTACAACTTTCCCTATTTCCAACCATATCAGGAGTAAATAAATGCTGCCTAACTTCCAAGTCCCCCCGGAATCTAGTCTCCAGCTTCCATGCAATTTGATTTTCAGCTAACCTTCAGCAGGTCTTGTACCCGCTGCCCTGGTGGGCCCCTCTCTTCGCAGTCCCCCACTCCTGGTGAACTTGTTCTTGCTGCAGAACTTTGATGCCCTTGTCCTCCTCGCCCTTCTCTGTTCTGACTATCACAGGGTCAGCCCAGGGCCTCACCATCTCCCTGGAGCTCTCTCCAGTTCCTCTAGCCCTTGCCAATGTCACTTCATAAAGTCCTTACAGGCAAACACAGTGTCACAGAGGATTATGTGTTTGTCTCTCCACATCCTACCTAGGCTGTCAACCCCTGAACTCAGGGACCGCTTTCTCCTTCAGCGTCCCCTACATGGGTAAATACTTGAGTAGCTCACTGGTGGACTGATTCTCTCTTAGGACCTAAGGCACCACCAGAGCCCAGTCTGTCCCTGCACTGCTAAGGAACCCGGGCGCCCATTCTCACTTTCCTCCTAGAACATGATTAACTGCCTCAGTGCGTGCTGGTGCGCACACACACACAGCTCTCAGCAGAAACCCTCATGATGCTTACTCCATCTTCATTCTGGAGGGTGTGTCCGGTGTTGATGTGGGCAGAGAACAGGCAGGTTCTCTGCCTAGGGGAGGCTTGGGGATCAAAGCCTTTGTCATACAAGGGACAGCCCAACAGGGCTGAGCAGCTTAGGTCTCAGATCAGACAAGATCGGTGCGTTCAGGGTAATATGGCCTCACACTATTGATGTAGCCACTGTGGAAAGCAGTATGGAGATCCCTCAAAAATTAAAAATGGATCTGTGTTTGGCCCGGCGAACCCACTTCTGGGAATATATCTGAAGGAACCCGAAATGCTACTTCAAAAGAACATCAGCACCCCTGTGTTCATTGCAGCATTATTGACAATCGCCAAGATATGGAAGCAGCCCAAGTGTCCATCAGTAGATGAGTGGATAAAACAACTATGGGACATTTACACAATGCAATTCTACTTAGCCTTAAAAAAGAAGAAAAGTTTACCTATTGCAACAGTATGGATGGACCTAGAGAAGATTACGCTAAGTGAAATAAGCCAGGCAGAGGAAGACAAATACTATATGATTTCACTCCTATGTGGAATCTAATGAACAAACTGACCTAACAAGGAAAATGGTGACAGGCTCATAGATGGAGAGCAGATGACAGCTAAGGGGAGGGGGAGGGGAGGTCAGGGGGTGGAGGGATTGAGCAAAAAGGAAAAAGGACTCAAGGACATGAACAACAGTGTGGTGACTGCTGGGGTGGGGTATAAGGGGACTAAATGGCAATGGAAAAAATACAATAAAAAGGAGATAAAAGAGCTTGGGTCTCAGCTGACTCAGCCCAGTGGAGATTCTCCAGTGCGATTCCACCAGCTCACGTGTGCCAGAGCTGGCCTTGGACCAGGAGGACCTGGCCCCTCACTTGGTCTTGAGCAGAGTCTCCGAACTCATCAGCAATGGACATGTTCCTTGTCACCCTGCTCCCAGGGCTGGTGCCCAACAGCACCTTACTGGAGGTGGAGCCTCAGGAGGACAAGGAGACGTAGAACAGTGCTGGCCCTTCCTTTTCCACAACCAAGTAGCTTGTCTGTCAGGCTCAGGGCCTTTCCAGCTTGGCCCGGGGATCAGAGCTGCACAGCCGGCCCTGCCCACGGTGGCCAGCCACATACGGGCTCCCAGGTTTGCCAGAGAAGTGCTTCCTGTCCCGGACCGGTCAGAAAGGGGGCTGTTCTGCGAGAGATTGGATTCTCCTCCCTCAAGAAGTTCAGTTTTCTTTCACGACTGGAATCTTCAAATTAAAATGTTCTCAGCCGGTGTTTGTCACGATCAGCCTCAGAACGTGCCACCCATTTGAAGGCGCACAATGGGCAGGTTCTGGGAGCGGACAAACGGACCTGACTTCGGGGGAGCCAGCTGTCTCCCCCCGCCCCCCGCCCCCAGCAGCCTTCATTTGTCTTGTCAGTGAAAATAAATATTTAACGTCTCCTTCTTCGTTCCTTTAAACAGACTGTAAAAACTGGGAAATACGCATCCCGCGAACACAATGGAAGAACATTCAAGTTGTCCGACTTCACAAAGCCAGGAAGCCCCGACTTACAGCTGATGGCCATTGGCCCTCCTCCGCAGGCACGCCGACGCCAGTGGGAGGTTAACGAACCAGCTTGTTTACACGGCTGCACAGCGCAGAGCAGAGCAGAGCGCCCGCTAGTTTCCCGGGGTCCCCCAGACGCCTCCAGAGCGGGGCTGTGGGAGCACAGCTTCATCTGCTCTCTCTAACGGGGGCAGAGAAACTTGGTTTTCTTCCTCATTAAGAGCCCCTGTCTCACTGGGGCAAAAAAAAATCAGGTTGGGGTCACGTATAAATTTAAAAAGTTCTGTTTGCAGAGAAGAGGGAAATGTAAAAGGGCACCACTTACAGGTTTCGGAAATGAGAATAACAGTCCCTCTCTAATAATAAAGGGGAACAAGAAACAGATCAAGGATGAGGTGGGGAGGGAGATGGAGACATTGGCAGTCACAGGAGGCAGAGGAAGAAGGAAGAAAAAGAGGAAAAAAATACAGAGGAAAAAACAGCTGTTAAATTCTGAAGTTAGCGTCACTCCACTACATGCATGGGCCGAACCACCAGGCCTGGATTCCCGAGTTGGACAATGTAACAGGCCTTCACAATGTAAGGTGACAGCTGCTCACTGCTCTCCGGTTGCTCTTGCCCCTCGGAAACGTTCAGAGGCCCTTTACCACGCAGACTACCTGTGACCGAGTGCCAGGAAGAAAACCATTCCCCAGGCTACAGTGTCGGTGCCGTCACCCGGTGAGGCAGTGGGGACTAAGAGGGCTTGCTCCTCTTCCCCCTGGTGACACTGCCGAGTGCCATGCCCGGGGGCCAGCAGCAGGCTCCCTGACTTGGGGCCACTGCCTGGAGTCGGCCGAGGTCTGACTGCAGTCCTTGCCCCTGTCCCCCACACGAGTAAAGGATTTGCTAAGCAAATTAGTCCTGAAAAACAAGACGGGTTAGACTATTTAAACTATGAAAGAGGATAAAAGTTTTAAGTACTTTATAACCACCTATTTGTTTTTCAAAGAATGCATCTGCTAATAAACCAAACTCCTATTAAAGTCTGCTTTCTTTCCTCCCACCCACCCTTCCTGCAGTGGCCTCTCGGAGGCAACACGGGTTTGACCCAGTTTGGTTCTTGAATGCGCATGTCGGCTTTGAAATGGCATTTCCTAATATCCAGACTACCCACTAACTCGGATGCCGATGCCTTTCGTTTTAATGCATTTTGATCCAGATTTTGTTTGTTTTGAACAGTAGCACTTTGACCCCTGTGCTTTTCTGGAATATTACACGGTATGTGAAATCTATACAAACAGCTCTGCAGGTAATGGGCAATCAGTTTCCAGCCCATCAGTGTGATGTATTAAGAGCTGGTTAATTTATTCACAGGAAGGCGGCCCTGGCCCAGTCTTGGACTCACCCTGCTCCCAGTGCCACCAAACCCTCATTCATCACCCTGGCACCCACACACAGAAAAAATTTGCTGGGCGCTGTAGTGAGAGAGAAGCAGATCATGTAGAAGGAATACCTTTTGAATTGCAAGGTCTAACAAACTTTGAAATAAATTCCAAAGAGCATCTGTAGAGCTGCCCCTTTCAGGGAGTATTTCAAGTAGACTAGATTAGACAGGATGACATGTAAGCATTCTTCACATACATGCTCAGCCTCTGTTAGGCTGACCTCAGAACTCTGTCCTTCGCAGGACGCACAGGTGCACACGGGCAGCATTTAACGTTCCTTCTCACCCAGGGGTTTAAAGAAACACGTGTACCTTCTTGCAAAGATGTGTTGACAAAGGCTAATTAGGGAAAAGGCAAAAATACTTAGAATAGACTATAGATTAAACTAAAAAAAGTACATGCAATGTATTAATCTGAAAGATCACCTTATATTTAAAAAATGTCACCCATTCTTTAAAAAAGTAAAGCAAAACAATATTTACTAAATGTATCTCCATAGGCAATGAAAGTATATAATCTGAACCTATTCAGTTTATTAAGCTTCTGACATTATTATGCCCTATGCTGTCTTAATTCAGTAACCGAACAGGGCTGCCCTCAAACTCTTTGCCTGTAAAGATTACACGACCCTCTTTGTTAATTTCAATTTTTTATGGTGATTTTGATGCCTTCCCCCTGTCCTACCTCCAGTGATACTGATATCATCCACATAATTTGCTTTTATAACTTACTTCAAAGATAGAGGAAGACTCATAAAACTTGACAGAATCACGGAGGGATTATGTGCAATACAGATTTTTCCCTACCCTCCTCCACGGTTTGGCTTCCTTCCCAGTTAGTCTCTTCCACCACTAGATGGCACCTCCACCTGAATGGGGGAAGCACCCTGTTTTAAAGTTAAACCGCTTGGGAACATATTTTGTCTTCCTTTTGGGTGAATGGAATGCTCTGTGTTGTACCATTCACCACGGTTGCATTAAGTTGCTCATGTATCAAACTGGAAACTCATCTCTTTTACTTCTTCAATATAAAAGTCTCTGGCACAGGATTAGACGCATAGCAGATGCTCAGTAAATAAGAATCTACTAATTGGTTGCTCAGTATTTTAGGAAACAGAGAAGGAATGGAGATGAGATCATTAACGACACTGGTAGCTGGGACACTCTTTCCTCAGCCTTATTACTCAGCTCGACTCTCCGTGTGCAGAGCAGTCGACTGTACCCATGTAATGGAGATCGACGTGTATCAATTGTTACAGAGTTCCCTTAAAAAATGTTCACGTGTTTCAGATGGTTAATGTGGGACTTACTATGGTCCTCTGACCCTGTATTACAAGGCGCAGGACAGACGCATTTTGAATCATCTGCATGCCTTCCCTCAGTTTCAGGCGTTTCAGGTTGAACTGATTTTGAAAACTTGAGCATTAGACACCATTAGAGCCCTCTTTTCTTTCTTCTGGTTAAAATGTCTCTTCCCCTTTTCCTCTCTGTTCCCCCTTCTTTCTTTCCCCCGTGACCATTTTTTGGTCATTGTTTGATTATGTCTGTGATCTCAATGCATATAAGAAAAAGTACCAAACGGTCCCCAAAAGTGATTTTTTTAAGATTCTGATTGCCTGACATTTTCATGAGATTCTGATTTTCCTAACAGGAAAACAGTTCCTTTGTGAAAACTCCTAGCCCTTAGTGGGTGTCAGAAGTCATTAAATCTAGTGAGTTCTGTGATTAAAGTGGAAAGCCTGCCCTCCCCCCAAATTGGCTATCCTGTACAAGTGTTGGTTTTTGAAATGCTGATCTTGGAAGGGTATTAAGGAGAGTGTGTGTGTGTGTGTGTGTGAGAGAGAGAGAGAGAGAAAGAGAGAGAATGCATGAGAGAATGAGACTATGAATTTGCTTTTCCTTATCCCAATACAAACAATGAAAACAAAGCAAGCTACCAAAACTAAAAAATACCAGTCCTATCAAAGCAACAGAGAAATAACACTTAGGGATTAAGGACTTAAAATAGTAACTTTATAGATAGTCTAAGCCATGTCTGTGCCCTTGTTCACTAATCTGCTAATCAGTTAAACACAACTTCTATGTAGCCCAGCATTCTGTGTCTTCAAATACCTCTGCACTTATCTCTCCGGCACCACTGAACACAGAGTTGGGCTATGTAATTAGGTTTCGTGAAAGGCAAGATTCTGCTGAAAGTGCACTGTGTCCAGCAGAACTTACACGCAGCGTCAGCGTCCGCGCTCTGAGTCACAAGCCCTGCATCACAGCTCTCTTCAGGCCGTATGGCCTCTGCCTACCAGCCTGGACCCAACTAACCAATAAGCACGGGCCACAACCCTTTCTGTGTCCCTTTCCTCTTCAGCCACCCGCAGGTCCCCAGTTCCTCACAGGTTTCTCCCTCTCCTCTTTGATCCAAAGGTTGGTTGCCTGCAGGAAATGACCTGAGATGCATTCAAAATGAGATCATGAATAAAGAATAACTTCTAATTACCCTTTTCAGAGGAGTTTTCTCCTTCACTTTAACAAGGATCCAAGTCTTAAGCTTAAAAAAAATTCCTCTCCTCTATTATCTAGGAATGACAAGCTATTTTCTGGGACAGTACGGTTTCTCCAGTACGTGTGGGGGACGGGGGACGTGCTGCACTCCGTGGGGCTGCCCCCAGCGCTGTGGATGCCCCCAAGCTGCACGGCGAGTGCACTGAAGCCAGAGCCGCATGGGCTCCGCGGCGGGATTTCCCTCGCCCTCTCGGAAGACTGCGCAGAGGGGGTGCACGCTACAAAACTGTCTCCTGCCAAGAACATTCATTTGAATGGGAAGCCTGAATCTGATAAATATTACACTCACACGGATTTCTCTGGTGCCTGCCTTTGGAACAAGCATTGCCTTTAATCATCATCCTCATTACAATAATAACAGGACTAACGACTATAATTAATGCTGACTATGTCAGTTCCAGGGCAAAAGTCTTCATACATGACATGTCCTCCCTATGAGGTTAGAGCACTTCTTTCTACTTATATAACCACCCGCTACCTCCAGGAGCCTTGGGTCCTGGCACTGTGGGGGCCAGGAATGACTCCAGGATACTGTTACAAACATTTTTTAATGGTCCTGGAGTGGTGGCCAATTCTAAGAGGCACCAGCCAACATCAGGTTAGTTTAGGATCAGGGGAAAGAAAGTCAGCCTTGCCTGGAAAGGAGGGCCCCACCCATAAAGAGAGCTAGGGCACCCTGGATGTCTGGTGGGTGCGAGAAAGGTGGGTGGGGCCGGGAAGGCTGAGCAGGAGCTGTCTTCTGGGCTTCGGTGGCTTTCTGCTGGCTAGGAGAGCAAAGCAGTGTCTTGCTGGCTGTCTCTCCTTCTTCCAGGCCCCCAGCCACTACCTGCCTCCAGCAGTGGTCTTGGCTTCTGGACTTTAGTGGGGGAACTTGCTTTGGGGGAGGACAAGGACAGAGAGACAGAAGGAGTAACAAAAAGCTTCCCATCAGTTGTGGTGCTTGTACTTTTCAAAGGACATTCACAGTCATTTTACAAGTGCCCTGTAAGGCAGGTTGAGAAGGCACCGTCATCTCCATCTCAGACAGCGGGAAGTTGAGATCTTAGGGTTTGTTGAGAAACCCTAGCGGTAAAGAGTAACCACAAAAACTGTGACTCTGGAAGGAAATGGTGACTCTGGATACTGCAGAGGGCTGAGGTCAGGCCGAGCAATCCCTGCCCCAAGGGGCATATCTGGAACACACTGATCAGTAAGCTACAGTGGCATATACTTGATGCAGGCTGACCCGGGCCCAGTCGCGTCTCCTGGCTTTTCCTTTCTTCCTGATGGTGGTCCTTGCTCAGGGCATCTATTTCCCCCCATCTTCCTTTTGTGCTCTCGTCCTCCCACATTCCCATTGCCAGGACGCAGCGGGGAGGGTGGAGGCGGGGCAGTGGGGCAGTCAGGAACTCTAACAGCCCCTCCCGGGCCTCCCTCAGCAACCCAAGCCCTGAGCTAAGAACTAGAGCTGACGCGGCTTGCGTGTGCAGTCTTAGGCACTCTTTGGGTGACTTTGATAAAGAAACCAGTTAGGGTGGGAATAACAGGTAACACTGAGCATCTCCCATTGGATGTGAACCCAGGCTGTCTCACTGCAGAGTTGATGTTCTTAACTTAAGAGAATTTCCAGCTGGGCCTGGCTTTGGGGGTTAGTGTCTGGCTTAGGTCCCTTCATCAAAAAGTCTTCAAAACCAGGCTGGACAGTGACCAGAAGACAGGTGACGAGGAGGAGCAAAGACTGAAGGAAGAGCTCAGTAAAGGAAGAGAATACGCGCAGACCATGTAGCCAGGGGGTGATCTCCAGGCCAGAACCTCAGCTCCCAGCTGGCGCCTGAGTGCTGATGGAAATCTCTCGCAACTCATCTGATCTCCCGGGGAAGCAGACTGGCCTGGAAATTTCCTCGGGAGCCTGACACATATGCGGAGGAATGCACACATCATAGCCATCGACAGTGTCAGGAGTCATGCACCAGAGCAGCTCTGCAGGCAGACCCCAACGCTGACACTGCATCAGCGGGGACTGCCAAACACGGTGTCAGGAGTCCCTCAGCGGCACGGATAGGGTGAAAGGGGCGCAGACCCACAACTGGCACCCAGCAGCACAACCCATGTGCACCCCAGACCTGTGCTTTTATCACAGACACAGCCACTCACACACATGCAGGGAAGAAACACTCTGCCCACAGCCCACACTGCCGGGCCCAACCTGTCGTCGCAGTAGGTGAACTTCATGTCCATGCTGTGGCGGCTCAGGAAGGTCTTGCTGTCCAGGGGGATGTCCATGTGGGACGGGTGCTGGATGGGCTCACACATGATGATGAGGCAGGAGAGCAGGGGCTCCTTGTAGCCGCAGAGACTGCTGTGAGGGGCGCAGTTGTTGTAGACCTTCACCTGGCCGGTGCAGTGCAGGACCTGGAGACCAGCCGGGGGGCGGGGGGTTCAGATGTGGGGCTGAGAGCAGGGTGCAGCGGGGGGAGGGCAAGAGGGGCACCGCTGGGGCTCCCTCCTGTGCCTGAGGCTGTCCTACCTTCCAGGTGGCGGACTTGAGGTTGACGGTTCGGCCCCTGTTGGTCACTGTGCACTTCATCCTCATGAAGAAGTCCCGCTCTGTGGACAGGTCTTTGCTTTTCTTCCCAAAACCAGAGCCTGGATGGGGAAGGGTGGAGGGAACCAGCTGGATTTAGTTTTTCATTTAGATACAGAAGAAGGACCCAGTTGCCGTGTTGTCTGCGCAATGTATTGTTTGTATTTCTCAACTATCTGCTCTTTTAGCACCTGCCAGGAACACTGAGTACCATCCTGGCCTATGGACAAAGCTTTCTCCCCTCCAGCTCGCCTCCCCAACTGGAGTACAAGCAGTGAAAGGGTAGGGGTATAACACTGTTCTGTTTCCATTGCGCCTAGCCTGTGGTCAGTGGTCCCTTCAGAGCAGCAAGGGAATGCATGACATTAGCCATAATCTCAGCTAATCTCTGCTGGGGCAGGTCCGGGCTCCCCAGGAGGAATTCCAAAAGACAGGCTGGGTGAGACCACAGCTACTGCAAGAGGATAAACTTCTCAGATTAGAATGTCCCTCAGACACTCCTGTCTTTTCCTCATTCCTGTCCCACAGGAATTTGAACTTCCTTGTGCCCTATTTTCAACCAGTAATGGCTGCATTCAGGATAATGTACCATCAGCTTTCTCCCTAAAGTGATGTATGTCCAGCTCAAAGAGACCGATGGTAGAAATCTCCTGGGATTTGGTGAGCAAGTCCACGCTGAGAATTGACTCAACATGGATATCCTTTCTCACCCAGAATTAAATAAATCACCAAGACAAACAATATAGCTTCCTTCCTTATAGTTTCCCAATAGCCTGCCTGTTCAGAACTTTCTCCACTTTGTAAAACAAAAGTGACAAATGCAGTAAGTGTCATCTGAGCCCCTCGTCCATGTCTAAATTCTGCCTAGCCCACCATCCCCATCCTGGGCCCTCCCAAGGTGCACGCCTGCTCCTGCCCAGCACCAGAGAACGACCCAGAGCCGTGAGTCAAACACTCAGACCCCTCCCTCCCAGCACGGCCACCAGCCCCAGCACCGCCACCTTCAGAGGCTGGGATTTACTTAACTATCATATCCCAAAGGTCTTTGTGTCCAGTGAATCATGTTGCCTTTAATCTACCTTAAACATCCCTAGGAGAGCCACTAAGTAATGGACCAAATGGTAGATCTTTTTTTTTTTTTAAGAAAACATATCCCTCCATCATGATCATAAAACCATGCCTTCCATACTTGATGTTTCTTACAATTTAAATTTTTATAGGTGGGGTTGCCATATCATGAGATATTCTTGTATCTCGGGGCCTGGACTGACTACTAGGGCTGGTTCAAGTGTTGGTGATGAGAGTGCCTGTGGCCTGGGTTATTACTATGGTGGCCTGCTGACTTGTTAGCCTCTGGATTCTCGCATTCTGCCATTTGATTAATCTTTCTAAATATAGCGCCAATCAGATTACTCCACCCCTGCTCAAAAACCTTCAATAGCACCCTTCTGTCTGCAGGATAAAGTTCGAGGCCCTCCACCGGGCCTTCAAAGTTTTCTGCAATCTGCCTCCTGGTCTTATCTCCCTCTAGGTGCTCGCATTAACCCTCTGCTTCCAGATTATGAGTCCACTCAGGTCGGCACCTTCAATAAGGATCTGCTTGCTGACTTATTGAGTTTGACCCCAAGTCCTTGCTACATGGACCAAGAGACCTAAAGTTCTACCCAGATAAATAGACTGGGATCATGCTGTAAATCATGGCACTTGAGAGCTGGAAGGTTCTAGACTTTGCCTGGTCCAATACTGTCTTTTTGAAAAGAAAGACTCCAAGGAACCAAGCAGTGAGGTAACTTGGTTCAGGTCACATGGTCAGACTGAGACTAAGGTCAGTGGCTGAATGGAGGCTGAGAACCCAAGGGCCCAAGAGTTTCTGGAGCAGAAGATGTAAGAGACCTTGGTTTTCTTAGGCTTCAAGCACCTGCTTTAGAAAGGGATTCAGAAAGGCTGGTAGCCCCTTCCCCGTAGAACCAGACAGGACTTTCTTAGCAGCGCAGATGAGACACTGCACAGCCCTCGGAGTGCCCCCCAGACTGTACTCTGGGAGCCAGCTGGTCCGAGGCCTTCACGTGGAGAGCAGAGGGGCTGTATGGGGGTCAGGGCTGGCTGGGGTGTCGGGGTGGTGGTCACTCTGCATTTTCCAGGCCCAGACCACAAGTTTAGTCTGTAACAAGGGTGGAAGTGGGCTGATGAAGTGTCTGATTTTGCATCGAGTATGGTAACAATAGCCAGACCTTGCAGGCTTAGCACCACTGCCTCTGCTGTTCAGGGTGGACAAGCGCAGTCACGGCAGTGACAGCTGAGAGATGTTAACAGGGATGTTTAGACATGGGCGGGATCTGCCCAGGGCAGAGATCAACGTCAGGTTCAGAGGGACCTTGAAAGTCACTGAGTCCCGCTTCTGCCCAAAGCCTCTGTCCTCTTGATAACATTTCCCATTCTTATGTTTGCTTGAATGTCCCCATTTCTATGAGATGAAGCAGCAACTCCAACTGTCACCACAGAGTACTTTCCGCTTGTAGGGGCCCTCCCATTACCAGCATCTGCTGGATGCCCCACAGGTAGGGTGCAATACACTAGACCTTTTAAATTTCTTCTCCATCAGAAAAGATCTGTCCTTTGTCTCCGAGGGGACCAGATTTAGGCTTTGGCTCCAGGGTTAGCTCTTCTCCAAAGGGGGCCCCAGTGAACCAGCCTCCGGATACTCAGGCCTGTTTCATTCCTCCCACACTGATGCAGCGCTGCACTATAACTCGCTCTACCTGCCAGAATGGGGCAGACTGAGGCTGGGCCGGCTTCAGGACTAAGTCTGAGGAAGCCCCGGCAGCTGCCACTTTCACACTTTTGGGAGCCCTGGGCTGCCATGTAGGAAGTCTGGCTGCCTTGGAGGCCCCAGGTGAAGAGACAGAGGCTCAGAGGCTCCACAGAGTGAGACAGAGTCCCGCTATTCCAGCGTGGCAGCTGAGTACCGGCCTCCAGCCACACTGTCCCAGAGAAGTGGCTGAGCCACCCTGGTCATCCCACCTGGTCCGGCCCCCGACGATGGCAGCTCAACTGATACAACGTGGAGCAAAACCCACAGAACCCACACAGAACCCACTCACAGAACCCACTCACAGAACCCACACAGTTGTGAGAGGTGACAAAATGATTGCTTCAACCACTACATTTTGGGGGGTTTGTTACCCAGCAATAGACAACTGCAGCAGTTCCCAGGGACATGTTGGTACAGATGAGTTTATTGGTTTGGGCATCATACTTGGTAGAGGTGCCAAACTCCAGGGCATGGAACCTCCTGGAGACACTGCCCTGTCCTCAAGGAGGCCCCACCAGCATGCAACCAGGCACCACACAGGGCCAGAGAGACCTTTCTGAGTATCAGGCCCCTTCAGTGCCCTCGATCTCATCTCACAGACTCTGCCTTGAGTTTTTGCATGCCGGTTTTTTCCTGGATCATGACACTCATGGTCTGTCGTTCCCATATATAAAGGGAACAGATCCTCCCGAGGCGGTACAAGGAGGAAGGAGACACACAATAAAGAATACTTTACCATCCTTGATAGTCAGGTTCTCGCGGATCTCCTCATGGTCACAGGGATGAGTGAAGTCAAAAATACTGTGTCCCGTTAGCTCCACCTGTTTCAAAAACAAAGTCAGACTTTGTTTTTCCTAGCACTGACGCAGAACATCCCTAGGGGAAGCTGAGCCGCCTTCTGGATTTGGAGGCAGGGCAGAGACCCAGTCATTTCTCATACGCCCAATCCAGGGTTCGGCCCACAGACATGCGGACGTGACAGAGGACTGCCGTCCATGTCAGAGACTTCATTCCCAAGGGCCTGCCCATCAATCTAGTCAGTGGTGCTGTCCACCAGAATGGCCATTGGCCATGCCAAACCCAACGCCAGGGCGTGGGGGTGTGGTCCTGAGGCTTGTGGTCTGGGATCAGAGAGGGGGCGGGGTGTCTAGGTGTGAGAAGAGGTCAGAGGGGTGTGATCGGAACCTTCCACTAGTTTCTACCCCCAAATAGAAACATTTTCCCTTTTTGAAAGAGCCAGAGGAGGGTGTCACCTGTGTGAGTCCCATGAACTTGCTGATGTTTTCCGACAGAAAGATCATGTCGCCATCTTGGGTCACCACGGCGATGAAACCCTCCAAGGCTTTCAGGTACAGGTTGTCCATCTGCTGGTCGGCCTCAGCCTCAGACTCGTTTTCAGAGCAAACTGGGAAGAGACGGGGGGGGGGGGGGTGGTGGTGAATGGCTTGCGTGAATGTGGTGTTAGCACAGATGTGACCGGCATAGATGGATGCCTGCCAGGGCTGGCACAAAGGCACCAAGTGGACTTCTCTGGAAGTGCATGCTGCCGACCCCCTAAGTGACTGTCACGTGCCCGAACAGGGCATATGGGGTGAGCACACAGGCTCAGGGGGTGTGCCGGAGCTGCAGATGCTGCCCTTCCTGCAGAGGAACAGGCCAGGCCAGCCTTCAGAGTCAGGGGCTGGGCTGTGCAGAGCAGTATCTTGGTGTCTTTCCCTTCGTCTCACTAAAACCATGGAACAAGAGGGGGGAGACCCTTTTCTCTCCACACTCTGGTTCAGGAGGATGACTTCTGTGAGGGGACTCCATCTGGGAATGGCCTTGTGCCACGCACATGCCCACACCTGATCCCTGTTTCCCTGGCGTCTGTGAACTACCTTGGTCAGCCAAGCCGCTGACAAGGGACCAAAGTCCAGGTGAGGGTTTTGCCTCTGACAATGCGAGTGCTCTCTGCTACCGTCTCCATTTAAACAGAGGCTTTAGGAGAGACAATGGCCGGACTCAGGGCTTTCAAACTTCAACATGTCCCGGGATCCCCTAGGAAGCTTGTTAGCACTGGGATTTCTGGGCCCAGGACTGCTGTGTGATTTGGGAGACAGTGCAAAATAAACATGTGGGGACTCTTGTTGAAAAGTCAAACTGACCCCAGAGCCTTCCAAGTGTGGAGCCCCCCGGGGCTGTACCAGCCACACCCTCGTGAAGCGGCCCGCATGGGCCACGTCCCCAGAGCTGCCAGCTCAGTGGGTCTGCAGCGGGGCTGCGAATCTGCTTTCCTAGGGAGCTTCCAGGGATGTCGCAGCTGCTGGCCAAAGGACCACAGACTGGGAACTGCAACCTTACTTCAAGGTCCTGCCCGTGACCCCAACCCTGGGGAAATCAGCCTCTCTTGGCAGGTGGGGACCTATCTGGGGATGGTGAGGGGAGGTGTTCAGCACCTTTGGAATCACACCCCACAGACAGGCGACCACCTTCTCCAGACAGCAGGGCCAGCCCTGGGGTTTCTGGCCTATGAAGGGTTTTTTCTCTTCAGTTTCTTTGATCTCAGTGGCAACACTGACTTCAAAATCTGGAGTCATCCCAAGACAACCTTATTTCGGTTAACCAGGCCCAGAGGAAATAGTTCTGCTTAAAATTTCCTGTTTTTAACAGTTCCGACACAGCTAAACTGGTTTCCATCCATGCCCCGTACTCTTGCTTCCAGGAGGTGGCGAAATTGGCTGCAGCAGCTGGCCGGGCCAGCCTCTGGGAGGGAGGGACGGAGGGAGAAGGGGGCGCTGAGTGGGGGGGGGGCACAGATGGAAACAGAACGTCTTGGAACTGGAGTCACAATGGCTGGAGGACCAGGAAGCCAGCAGGCCGGCCTCTGGGGACCCTGGGACAGCCGGGCCTTTTTCCTTCTGTGGAGCTAGTTGCTCCCACAGCACCTGCTTATCCTCCCAGGGAGCTTCTGAAGGAATCTGGCCAGCTCCTGGTCAGCCTGGAGCTGGGGGCAGTGAAAACAGTGGGGCAGAGGCAGACTTTCATGCAAGAGGCCAGGGGTCATGCACGTCACGTCCCGCTGAAGACTCCTCCGTCTTTCTTCCTGCTCTTTCCTGTGAGCATCTTCCCTACTGTCTCACTGATCTCCATCTGAGGGTCAGGCACGTGGGAAATTCACTCATGAACTGTGCAGTTATTATGCTCCTGCTGCCTGCCCTGTGCTAGTCGCAAAGCAGGAAATCAGGCGTCTGTCACCAAGTGTCCCGCACTCTGTGCTTAGTCCTGTCCTAGGGAGTGCAATGACATGGAGAGGTGTGAGAACCACTCTTCCCCAGGGACTCTGCAGTGGCGGTGAAGACAAAGGCAAACTGCTGTGCGGCTGCACACGGAGGGAGAGAAACCCCTGGTGCAGGTGGAGAGCACCGCAGCAGGTCCTCAGTAAGCTGCTGGGGTGGGGGTGGGGTGTGTGCCTTAAATTGCCTTGGGTTCTTGGTCTCAGTTACTTGCTTCCCAAGACCCTTCGGAGTCTGACCCCAAAGAGGAGGGGCAGGTCACCAAAATCGGAGGCCTTTTGCTGAGATGAAGCCTGCCTAGCCCTGCTCAGCCCAGGGAGCACAACAAGATTCTTTAACGCTAAAAATAGCCCCTGTAAACAGGCTTTGATGACTCCCCACAGCCAGGATATGCGCGGGCTGAGGTTTCGGAGCACTTTTTCCGGAGCACCACTCATTTCCTTCAGGCAGGCAGCACCACCCGAGTGGGGCGGGACCCCACGGGCACCAGGAGCTGGGCATCGGGGGGGGGGCGGTGAGTGGGCAGGGTGGCAGGGCAGGTACTTCAAAGCAGGGCTTCGAGACCAGGCAGTTGCAAGGTGCTGCTGCGAGTTAGGATGCATTTTTATCCAGCAGGGTCATCTTCCTTCTTTGTTTCCTACTCTGAGGGGTTCCAGCGTGGCTCTGACTGTTTTGAGGCTGCTCTGCTGCCATCTGCCTGGTGCAGATGTGCTTGGCAGACAGCCGTTGCTTAGTGACCCATGGCGGGGCTCTCCTTCAAACTGACTCCTCTCCTCCAGCTCTCCCGGGGCCACAGACACCCCCTCCCACCAATTCCTGGGTGTATTGGCTGTAAGAACAGTCTCGGTCTCCATAAGGAAATTATTTTTGGATCCTTACTGGATCATTAGCCATACCTGTAAACTCCACCGTTACCAGGTGGTAGGTTTGGGCTGCCCTCACATCTTTCACAGAAGGCACTGGTTTTACCTGATCTTTCTGGCCTCCCAAAGGGTCTTGAAAGTTCACCCTTAGAGGTTCATTCCTTTGTTCTTCACATAACTTACTATCCTATCTTACCTCTCTGTGTTAACCTTCATAAGCCAGTAGCACAGGACTGGGGTTAGCAAATACCTACTGATTGACCAGATCTGTCTTTGGTTTAAGTCTTAAGAAAATGATCTGAACAAGGTCAGTATCTCTAGGAGAGATTATACATTAGCTGTCTTAGACATTAGCATCCTAGCATGAATCAGCTTATCAGCTCCTCTGCAAACAGCACAGAAAAAGGCCTGGATTTGGAGAGTGCACGGGGCAAGGAGTGGGCGGGAGACAAGTGGGGGGCGAGCACTTGGGAAACGAGGGCTGGCAGCAATGCCCAAGGAGGCACCAGCAACCACATCTGCCCCCACGACTCTCACCTGCTGCTTCCACTTTTCCTGCATGAAAAGCTCATGGTCAAAGCTTTAAGATCACTTGTCCCACATTTTAATATCTTTCCCTTAATGATCTAAAGATCAGGAAATCGTAATCTCTTACTGAGACTGATACCTTCACGAAGTAAATGCCAATGCATCAATCATCAACCTGACATCTCTCTTCAGAAACCCTGCTTCGCGTCAACCTCCGGCTCGCAGATAAAATGACTTGGGTTTCACCACCTATGAGTTGGGGGAGGGGGGAGTCAAAAATCCGCTTTACAGTGAGAAGCCCATTTTGCATATTTACTGCTGCATAATGCCCTTCGAATGCAGAAGTGACCCTCACTTGGTCACAGTTTGTGGAGCTCATCTTGAAAGAGGATTTAAGACAATCCAGTGGCATTTCCACCGATGTTCCCGTCAGAGTGTGTTCTGTTCTCGGCCCAGCGTGGAAGCTAATATCATAAAGCTATTGTTTCAGCGCGCTTCCTGCGATACAAATCTCGGTCGGCAGCCCAGACTCCTAGCCTGAATTTCTTAGCGTTGAGGTTTCCTCTCCAACATTCCCACACAGAACAGCCTACTGTGAAAATCAAAGGGAAGCGTGCTGCTAAGTAAAGAAGTAACTTTTCTAAAGCAAAACCTGGCCCTTTTTAGCCTTTTGAACTCTGAGGTATGCAACCAGCTATTTCCTATCATAAAATGAACCAACATCAGCACTCACCTTTGTTAGAAATGTTTCAATAATGAATCTGTTTTGACGTGAGAAAGCTGGGCAACTGTGCGTTTTGACAGAAATTGCTGAAAGGCAGGTAAAGGGATAGTAATCTTATAGTGTACCGATTATGTATGTATTATTTCTATGTAATTATTAGTCATTTTGATTTCTAAGCTACAACTTATCCAAGAGCCTAATGTGTGGCAGGCCAGAGGCTACGGGTTTTTACACCCATCACCTCAGTCCTCCAACAGCATCACTTGGTACCGTTATTCCCTCCGTGCTTATGAGGACAGTCAAGCTCAAAGCCAGTAAAGAGGTTCTCACGTGGCTGCAGAGAAAGAAGGCGGCCAGTCTGAGGTTCCAACACGGGTCTGTCTGCCCACAAATCCTTACTCTTTTTCATTGAGCCACATGGGTTGAAAAAGCAAAAATATGACTAAGAAAGAAAAAGATCCTGTCTCCTGCACAATTCCTGGAAACCCTCCCAACAACCAGCTGAGGGTGTGTGGGGCGGGAGGCTGGAAGGGAGGGCAGAGAAAGGGGACGCCACAAGCCATCAGTCTTCTCCTTGGCGACGCCTGCTTTGTGAGAGCCGCTCCTTCAAGGACACCAGGACCAGATCACTTTTTCTCTTTTTCTCTCATTTCTTACTTTGGGACAGAGAGGACCAGAGCCCACACGCTGAGGGCTCTGGTTGGTCTGGGGCCGAGCCCAGCCAGGGGCCAGGCCTTTTGTGTCCAGAGCTGCACCAGCTCCTGAATGGAGATGCGGGATGCCTTGCTGTGGCCACTCTGGCCCTTCTCCCTTGGCGTGTCTGGCACACAGGGGGCTCATGCCAGCACACAGGCCAGCAGATAAGCTTAGATGCCCAGTCTCTGGTTCATGGTCATCTTACAGACTCTGAACCACTGAGAGGCCCGTGCACGGGAGAACGTGGAAAACAAGGCCGTGACCCAGGGAAAGGATGGAAACACCCAGCATGTGAGGACCGCCTCCCTCCCCACTGCTCAGGGTCAGCCCCAGGTGCCTCTGTTTACCTTTGGTCCCCCTGCCTTTCCCCTCCTCTTCCCCACACACCCAGGCCTTGTCAACATCTTCACTGGGCCGGGTCCACAGAGTTCGCCTGCCCTCTTGTGTCTGCCTTGCCCACGGACCAAGACTCACAGTGACTTGAGTTTCAGGCGCAGACTCACTGTGTGCCAAATATGTGACTTCAGGCAACCTTAGCTTCTCTGTGCTTCACGTCTCATCATCTGTGCAATGTTCTACCAGTCCCAGTTCAATCAGAGAGCTATCCTAGGATGAACGGATTAGCCCCTGGGGCTCTCTGTTGGTGGGAGAATGGGGATGGTGGTGCAAGGAAGCCATGACTAACCCCAAGGAATTAATGTCGGAGAGCAGAATGTCAAGTACCATTTCCAGGAAGTCAAGATGCTCTTTCTGGATATTGAGAAGGGTCTTCATCTATTCATTTAAACCCTCCACTGCCTCCTCTGTGTAAAGGCAGAGCTGGCCCCAGCACTGCCAGACACTGCCCTCACCTGTCTGGGAAGGTGAGCCTCTTTAACAAAAAGAGGGACTCACGTTCCCTGAGGTGGCATCTCCAAGCCTTTCTCGCACTGCGGCCCGTGCTCCCTCTTTCTGCAGCAGGCGGGGTGACGAGCCTGCCAGTGCTCTGCGCTGTTCCGCTGAAAGTACTTTACCGAGCACGTGTCTGCCCTTGGTTCTCCCCCTGCCGTCCGCACTTTTCCAAGATTTCTCAGACTCGTGGCGCAGGGTTGGCCCTCCCACCCTTGGACCCACTGAGCGGTCATCCTATTTTCTGAAAGTCTTTCCCCCATATCCTTCCTGTGCTCCAGGGCCCAGAATAGCACAGGTCACTCTGGCCTCCCAGCCTCACACTGGATTCCCTTTGCTCAGGGTTTCCTTCCCAGAATAGCCACTTCATAACAGGATGGCAGAATCCACCCGGCTCCAAGGCACTTGGCTTGCTCGGGAAAACCGAAAACCAGCCACCAGAGAGCCTCGCCTTCCCTGCCCACCTCCTTCACGCTCACTGCCTCGGATGCAGTCCCCCGCACAGCGCCACGGCAGGCGAGGAGGGGCCCAGCCCGCTGCCCTGTTTCCCTATGAAATAGGCAGACTAAATGGGGGAGTCCCATGGTATCTACAATTGGGGAACTCCTCAGGCCACCTCTCTCTGGTCAGGACCAGCAGGAAACGGCTCTATGAAAAATGTAAACTCAGAAAAAAAAACACGTTTTGTGAACTTCAGACTTGCAGAGACACCAGGGAGGGTGAAAGTGGGTGAGCTCCGTGGGGAGGTGGTTATCCATCCCCGGCTCCCCCGTGTGGGTGAGCGTGGCCGGGCCAGGGGCCTTACAGGCACATCTGTGCTAACTCTCACCGACACCCTGTGCAATGAGTATTTTCGACCCTTTTTTACAGTTGAGGGAACCAAGGGCAGAGACACCAAATAATTTGCCTGGCATACTGGCCCAGGGGAAAAGGTCATGTGGGCACACCTCGGCCCTTCTGGAGGAGGGAGTTGGAAGGCAAGCACTGAGAACCATTTCCTAGGGACTGAATCTAGAGTGGAGTGTGGGTCACGTGGCCAGATGGAAGTGCGACTGAGAGGCCAGCAAAAGCTGCTTTGTCCTCCCAGCCTGCTCTCTCCTTTTTAGCTTCCAGGTGCCCACGGGTTTCCTTGGTCCTGTCCTTGCCCTTCATCTCACGGCTGTGTTCATTGTAAAGGTCAGTGCTGGAAAGGAGGTGTGTATCACGAAGGAATAAGGCACCAATGATGGTGTCTCCGTGGGCAGAAGTTTTGCAGAGTGGGAATTCCTGGGTGGGGAGACCTTCTCAGTGGCCTCTGTGCCGACTCTGGCACCAGGGAGCCTCCCGGGGTGCCCGCCACCTCACCTGAGGACAGGAGCTTGTGTGTCCGCAGGAAGCTGATGGCCAGCCGCATGATGGAGGCCTTATCCAGGTGGGAGCTCACGCTGTGCGGCAGGGGCAGCTCGTGCGCCAGCTCGTAGAAGACCTCCGTCTCCTTGCTTCGCCGGCACCTTGCGGCATCCCGGGACTTCTCCTTCCTCCTCTCCGAGCTACTCCTAGGTTGAGAGACACGGGGTGAGTCTCCAGAACATCCCTGTCATTCTATCATACCCCGGATCAAGACATCCTGAGGGCCCCCAGCCCAGGCAGGGTGCCACCAAACTCTTACACTGAGCCACTACGGGCTCACACAGCGTCTGAGCCACACAGCCCACCTCCTGTTGCCAGCTCTGCTCCCGTGTGTGTCGCCTTCTCGCACAAAGACTTGCCCACCAAACCCATCCACTGGCAATGCTTTGGACCTGGTTCTGGGCATTATCTTGGGACTCAGGTGAATGTGTGGTGGTGGGGATGAGAGAGCTGTGGCCAGTGACTCAGGTGGCTGTGTCACAAACTCCAGAAAACAAGGTGAGCGACTGCTTCAAGCTTCCCCTTCTAGACAAAATGCACTTAGAAAAAAAGTAAGCCCAGTATTGAAACTTAGGTCTCATTTTTGTTTCAGAGAGTTATTTCCATGCTAAAAATTAAAAGTACCGTCGGAGCCCAAGAAGAACAGGCAGCCAGACGTGTTGGCCTGGCGTCCCCAGGTGCACACTTGCCAGGGGTCCCCGAGGAGTGAGCGCGTGCTCCCCTCCCAATGCGGCCGGCGTAGGGCCACTAGCCTGCCTCGAGCTCGTTTTCCTCTTCTTTGCAGGACAGATGAACAGATGACACACGCCAAACCTGCCCCTTTCAGGGAGTCCTAACAAAATCCTGGATCTTCTTATAAAGCCCATATAACAGTCTAACATGGGCAAGGTAAAAGCCAGACTCTCTGTATTGAAATTCTAAGTTCTCCCTACTTGCCTGCTCCCTACACTCAAATTATTTAAGTGGCTTAGCCTCAGTTTTCTCATCTGAAAACTGGCCATAAGAGTACTTATACCCCAAGAGTTATTGTGAGGATTAAGCATGACAATTTATGTGAAATCTTTAGCACCAGGCCTATCCCACTGGGAGCCATCAATATCAGCTAATATTAACAAATCTGTCCATGAAAAGATGAACATGAGAGTAAAAACATTACAAAAGTAGATAGTACAACTCAGCTTTCATAGAAATATATGTATAATAGTTCTAAAATATTAGAAAAACCTAGAAATGTAATAAAATAGTAACTATTAAGAATCTTACAGCTATCACATATATAGTGCTTACTGCATTATTGGTACTGTTTTAAGAGCTACTACTTCAGCTTCTTTAAGTCTTACAACTACCCTTGGAAGTCTTTATTATTATTGTCTCTAATTCACAGAGGAGGAAATGGGTCCGCAGAGGCTAGTCTACCTGCAGCTTCTCGGCAGGTGAGCAGGGAAGTGGGGCTTTGCACCAGGCAGGTGGGCCCCAGGGCCCAGGGCCTTAACCGTGGGTGACGGTCTGGTCTCTCTCTACACAAACATGTTAGCGGTTTCGGGTTGGAGAAGTTATAGGGGATTTTTTGTACTTTATGCTTATCTGCATTTTCTTATATTTCTCTGAACAGCCTGCACTGTGGGGTCAGTAAACAAGTTTTCCCTTTTGGAAAAGTGGCCGGTGCAGTTCATGGCTCTCACGGCCGCATCCACCCGGCTCCGTTCACACTCCGCTCCTCCCTCCTGAGATCTCCAAACCAGGGCTGCTGCTCCTTCTGTCTGGCTCTGCTTCCTACTATCTGGGCAGATAATCAGTATTTTGGGATTCACGGAATGTTGACGTGCCTTTCAGACCCTTCAAGATCTGGGGCAGAGGCCCTGTTCTGACTTTACAACAGGTCTCATTTGGAGAAACAGAACATCCTGCTCCGTGGATGGATTAAGTCAGCGTCATTTACTCAGACTGCAGAAAGCACATCCCTTCGCTGTGGATGGTCAAGAAGAACCTTCGGCAAAACTGTGAAACGGGTGAAACTTTTCTCCTGCCCTAGCTCTCTTTTATGTTTCCTTTACCTAATCCCTGTTCCCTCCACTCCCCCGACTTCAAGTCCCAGAACTCTCTCCCTGGCCCCCCGCCCATCCCCGCTCTCTCAGATCTGCCCTCACCATCATGCTGCTTTTGCACCAGACCTTTAGTGACGGTTCCTATATTACTTTCTCCCATCTGCATTTTAATCCTGACCTCTGACTGTGGAGCAAAAGCAGTCATCTGAGTTTTGCAGGCCTCCTGGCACAGGAAGTAAGGGTGGGAAGGGGACAGGATGCTAATACTGTGCACACCTCGCCTATGAGTCACGAAAGCCAGTGTGTGGGAGATGCTGGACTCCATTCTCCAGCACCAATCCTCGCGCACCCGACAAAAGCAACATCAACACATGACCAGACACCAGGGACATCCAGAGAAGCCATCCTGGGTGGAAAAGATCCCCAGAGCAGGCTGTGGCATTAATGCCTACATCTGCATGCGCAGAGCCTCCCTTTGCTGCCATCCCTCCCTCAGCGTGGAGGAGCAAAGCAGAGAGAACCAGGAAGGGGAAAGGCAGTCTGGGGCTGGTGCTCTGTCTGGCCATGGCATTCAACATTTGGGTCCTATTGTGCCATCTGGACTACATAAGTATTTGTTGACACTCACTTTTGTGCCTGCGCTACACCAAGTATCTTACACATATCACCTCATTGTAGCCCTCCAACAATGCAATATGGCAGGTCCTGGGAGTGCGGTTTACATGTGGAAACCATGGCCCAGACATAATATGCAACTTGCCCAAGGTCACAAAGAAAACGTCTGCACCGGCCCTTGGAAACTGTTAGTGAGCTGACAGTCAGAAGTCCTGAGGAACGTGGGCGCTCCCTGTCTAACTCCACCCTCCCAACCTACATGTGAGATGGGCAAGACGGGCATTGCTGCTGTCCCATTTCTCAGATCTGGAAGCTGAGGCCTGGCCCAGTTATGTGACTAATGAAGAGCCATCTAACTTATTAGTGGCAGATCTAGAGCTAGAACTCATTTCTTCTTAGGCCAACCTGTTTCTCACTGCTTAATGGTAGGAGATAGTGGCTTTAGCAAGAAATAATAATAATAAAAAACAGCAATATCTTAACATTTAGAAAAAGAAGATCGACTATATCATGTAGCCTCTTGGTTTAAAAGTCATGAGCCCCATTTTAGCTACCTTGTTTCACAGGTGCACTGACATGACTTTAATGAAATTATCTAGTTAAAGTTGACGCAGCCCAGAGATATCTGTCTAATGCTGACTCTTGGAAGAACAAGCGAAAGTGTGTAACACGGCTTTGATTTAGTTAGCAACACTGAAGAGCAAGAGTAATTGATGCTGAGTGTGAAGGTGAGACACCCCGTACCCCAAGCCCAACTGATGCGTATGCAGTCTACTTCCTCACACAGTTCATCATGAGTGAGGCCTCCTAGCCAATGGAACAGGGGGCTGGGAGTAAGGGGGACTGATGTTTCAATATATCGGCCATAGGCTACCCAGCTGTCTGAGTCTGGATGAGAAACTGCACTGCTGGTGCCCCGGCAGCCTCACCAGGAAAATGGGAGACATCTCAGGCCTTACTTGTCAGGATCAAATGAGACGAGTGGAGAAGGGCTGGAAGTGCAGGTGTCCCTCCCTTTATTGCACGTCACAGGTGTTGCTTTTTTTTTTTTAACAAATTAAAGACAAGACCCTTCACAGCAAAGATTACGACCCATTTTACTGTGCTACTCACTTTATTGCGGTGCTCTGGAACTGAACCCACGATACCTCTGAGGTATGCCTGGGTGAGAAAGCTCTCCACAATGAAAACCGTCGTGACAGATGATAATAATTCCATTAAATGGCTAATATGAGTATTAGTCACATCAGACTTTGGCCATCACAGCTGCCCTTCATCACCAAATCAATGCTGTCTCTGGGCCGGGGGTGCAGTGTGGTCAGGCTGACCTTGCCCAGTTCTTTTATTTCTTGTTACTGAACCTTCTTTGGTCAATGAGGCTTTGTTTCCTAAAATACATACTTTAGTTTTTCTCCCTAGATGGGTTCCAGAATGAATGGCAATAGACCAGAATTTTTTTAAATGACAGTTCTAGGCATAGCGTGTTAGAATTCTCTGATTTCTTGTGAAAAGATATTTTATCCTCATCATTAGAAAAGACTCAGACATTTATTTCTTACTCCCAGTTGCTCTTTCAACCAAGTTTCAGCTCCTGTCTTTCTTGGTGGCCCTCCCGTGACCCGTGGGTGGTCCAGCACAACATTTCGTACTCAGAACGCTCAACGTGAACCCCGCCCTGGGTCGGTGGCACTCGGTCGGGGTGGGGGGGACCTCGGTCGGGGGGCCCTCATGCCGATGCGGCAGTGTTTGCTGAGCTCTGCGCTAGACCCTGTGGAGCTGGAGAGTGAATAAAATGTGCATTCCTTGTTTTTAAGGAGAATGCAGTCTCATTAGGGAGCCAACAACTTGAAACATTTCTATTAACTACAGAAATAAGTACCAGCAATAAACACGCTAGGTGGTGAAGATAAGAAACCAGCTGGTGTGAGCACACAAGGTCTGAGCAGGCTGCTCGGGGAGGCAGGGTCTCAGCTGATCCTGGGAGGACAAATGACAATGCCTTCCTGGTATCTGCAGGGTTCAGAGAGCACTTGTTTTCTACGCGTGCTATCTTAGGTGAGTCTCACAAAAGCCCTGAGAGATAGGAACTATTATCCCCATTTAATAGATGAAGAGTAGAGATTTGGAGGGATTAGTAACTTGCTAAAAGATATTGTCTCCACCGTAATTCTTCTGGGTCCAGGATGAAAGATTTCTCTACTGGCAACAAGGAAACTGTTACTTATTGTGTAACTTTCCAAATGCACTGTGTTAGATGCTTTCCCACAAATTGGATGTTTATGTACAGGACAGGGGGAAGAGGAGGGTGAAGATCTGAAAAGGAGCCCTGGCAGGGTGGTTCAGCGGGTTGGAGCATTGTCCTGTACGCTGAGAGGTTGTGGGTTTGATCCCCAGTCAGGGCACATAATGGGGCGTGGGTTCAGTGCTGGGTCTAGCTGGGGTGCGCATGGGAGGCAACTGATCAATGTTTCTCTTTCACATTGATG